CCCCACTAACACCTCTTCCAGCAACAACCTTCGTTTTTCCCAGGAGGTCTCCCATCTTGGTACTGACAAGGCTTGCCCTGCTTAGCTTCAGTGGGTTGCCAGGTGTGAGTTTACTTGTTGTGGCAGCTTGATTTTGCCTTGCTTCTGTCTGACCAATTAAAACTTGGGAAGTGACTGTTCCACTGTTTTTTTATGTTGATTATGATAGTTTCTGAAGTCATGAACCTTTTGTTTGTAATGCCACAAGGTGTTTGATCTGTTACAGTTGAGGGTCTAGCATCATTCGAGTAGGTATCCACATAGGATACTTTGAGATAAACCATCTGTTGTGTACCTTGTAAGCACCCACTGATTTTACATTCAACAAGCTTTACTACAAAATTTGAAATCCTCATTAGTGGAATGTCAGTTTATACTTTAATTCAACCTGGTTTGTTTTTCAAATCAAACAAAAAAGGCTCTATTTCATTTTTTGTTTCCATGGTTCATTTATTTTTTCACAAAATATTTTCTATTTATCCAGCACAATGACAACACCAAAACAAAGAAGGCAGACATCAATATTTTGATGAACCATGAGGTGAAGTTCACTAGTTGTTTTAGAAGAAATATCCCAGATGTGTTTTCTCTTGTAGAAAGATAAAGAACCTTTGTAAAGAAATGCATAGTCTGGTGACACCTAGTGGGATAGACACTGTATTAAAAACGGTAGTCTTCAGAAAGTTTTAGAAGGAAGAGACTGCAGATGTGCATCCATATTAATACTATAGCAGTTCATAGAACAAAAGTTTTTAGAGATCTGTAAACCCACTTGGATATATAATAAAATTCCTGGTTTTAAACTGTCACTTTACCAAATTACTTCCCTCAATTAAGGTGCCTGTGAAAGAGGACAGAAGGTGATTTCCCACTGTATACCGGGGATTGTAGTTCAGATAAGATCCATGTTGTATGAATGTACTACACTTTTATAGCATGTAATGAATGTCCAACCCAGGTACGTCACTGTGGCCAAAAACTGGTGGAAAGATTAGATTAAGATCCGATCTGATACACACTGTTATATGTGAAATTTCTGTGACAAAATTTCATTTGTGTATATGTCTTATGTGCTCTAACCTTCTTAGTGATTTTTTTTCTCCATCTTGAGAGACCCAATTCCTCTAGCTTTTCTGTCAAATGTGTACATGTAACACTTTGTGTAAATAACCACATATGGAAACTGACACAAGTAATTCCTTATTCATCTCTGAGAAGAGCTGGTGAATAAGATGGCTTTCAACAAGTCTTAATGTACATGCTTTGCACATTTGGGATTCTAGAAGGTATAACAAGGCTGAACAACAAAAATAAGTATTTTGCCAGCATATGCAGTTGTGAGAAAAAGTTTGTGAACCTTTAGGAATTATATTGATTTCTGCATGAATGGCTCCTAAAATGTGATCTGATCTTCATCTAAATCATAATAAATAATCTAATTTAACAAACAACATATACTACATTTTACATTGCCATATCTTTATTGAACATATGGTTTAAACAATCAAAGTCATTGATGGAAAAAGCATGTGAACCCTTATATTTAGTAACTTGTGGAACCTCCTTTATTGGCAATAACCTCAACCAGATGCTTTCTGTAGCTGCTGATCAGACCTGTGCCGTCATTAGGAGGTATTTTGGCCTATCTCTCTATACAAACTGTTTCCGTTCATGTATGTTTTTGGGATGTCTTGCTTGAATGGCCTGCAGTGTAAAATGGACAATGTAAAATGTTGTGTGTGTTTGTTAAATAAGACTGTCTTTATTTATTATTATGACTTAGATGAAGATCAGAACACATTTTAGGAGCCATTAATGGGGAAATCTAGATAATTCCAAAGGGGGTACACAAACTTTCTCACAACTGCAGCATTTCTGCTCTGAAATTTAAAGAGTATAAATGTTTCGGGAATTTTCTTTTAACTCTTTGCCTTTAAACATAAATTATTTGTGTGGTTCACAGGCCTTTATTTGAAGGGGACAACGATTTTTGTGTGTGCTTGAAGGAATCATTTCCAAATCTTAAAACTAGGAAATTAACCCGAGTAGAATGGGCTACAATAAGAAGATTAATGGGAAAACCTAGAAGGTACAGTACTTACAATGTTTTTTTTCCGTAATGTTGTGCTGCTTAGAAAAGCTCATTATTTTTATTAAATGCAGTAATAAACGTGTTTACTGGAGGATTAAGGCCAGAACATCAATTTTACTGTTATTTGTCACAACACTTATTATTGAAAATGTTACTTGAATGAGTGTTTACTAGTTTTTCCCCAGGCAGCCTTGATATTGAACACTGGTGCAGTTGAATAATACTCATAATATGCTATATTGCTGCTTAAAGTTTGTGAATCCCTATTGTATTTCTTTCAGTGTTACATTTTTCCTATGAAATCCTTAAATCAAATCTAGTCTTTAGTGTTATAAAAGAATGGTTATATATCTGCAGATTAAATGTATTGTTTAGAGAGAAATTGATGCATGCAATAGAAAACTAAATAGGTAAATAAGAATGTTCATGTGCAAATGTGAGTCTTTTGAAGTTCATTAGCATAGTCAATGAGTTAACTATAAACAGGTGCTAAAATAATTTGGATAACCAAGTTATCCAATCAAAAAGCCAATCTCCAAGACAAAGGTTAGGAGGCCCTCTACTACTACTCCAAAGGTCAATTTGGTATTACCCTGACAGATTAGTGTAATATGCTGTGCCACTATCTACGGAGATCTCAGGAAGGGGGTTGTTCATCAGTCTGGAGGGGGTTATATAATCATAGCAAAATGATCAGTCTACTGTAAGTCAAATAGTCTAAAAATGGAGAAGAATTAAGACCACACTGACCACACTTTACCTAGATGTGGATGTCCTTCATACCTTTAACAATACGATGCAAACTGAATAGCAACAGCTTCCACAGGAGGGAAGCCAGGAGAAAATAGTTACACTCAAAAAAGAACACTGCTGCTCGTCTTAAGTTTGCAAAAGACCACCTGAATGATCCTGTAGATTTTTTTTGGAAGAGTTTTCTGCACAGATGAGTATAAAATTGATCTTTTTTTGGTCAGAACAAAAAGCTCCATATCTGGTGAAAACCTGCTACCAATATAACCTTATCTCCACTGTCAAGCATGGTGGAGGGAGCGTCATGAATTTGGGCTGCTTTTCTGCCCATGGACCAGGTCAGCTCACCATCATACCAAATTCACATACTTTCAAGCATCACTGCATCTTCTCTCTGAAATTAGTATGTTGTAGTAAGATGTTTTTACAATAAATATATTTTATAAAATTTGCTTGATATATACAAAAGAATGAACGTATTATCTAAATGAAGAATGATGCTCAATAAACTTAACAATAGTAAAGTGTCATGTGAATTCTTCCACTTTGGAAGAAAGTCTTTTATTCCTTTTTGTTTTTGGTTTAGGACACTGGCTTTAGAAAATCCTTACTGTGCCTGTGTATAGCTATAGTTTCTTATGTAATTAAAATTGCGTCAAATTTTATTGTGTGAGAATGCACTATTTTAAAAGTAAAATTATAATGCTCCCTAAAAATAATAATTGATAAATACATTGATTTTCAGATTTTACTGATTCTGATTTAAGGACAACATCATTTGTACTTGTTTTAAGAGGTACAGATGGATTATTAGCACAAACACCATCCTATGCAGGTCATGGTCTATTTTCAAAGCTTTTTCTCACACGTTTGGTATGTGAGGTATTCTTTGTCTATAAACCAGCATGCAAGCTGACAAATGAATGAACACCTACTTTAAAATACACTGAATGTACTGTGAGTAATATTGGATTTTATTGGTCTGTCAATATCGGATTCATACTTTCATCAAAGCATCGTGTGCAGTTGTTTATCTGACTCTTCATGTGTATGTTTCAATGGGGAGTTTTGTCATTGTACAAAGGAACAAGATGAAATTGGTTCCACTCAGAAAAGTAAAACAAAGATGCTGCTTCTTTTTTTGTACTTTTCAATGTGTAATTAATTGCTATTAATTCACTGTAGGTAATATTGATTTAACAGCTATCCAAACATTATTTAGCAGGTGCTTCACAAAGTAACACAAGCTCCTTTCTGGGAGACAAATGTGTGCCCCAAGGTCTAACAGTAATATATTTAGGAAATTCCTTATCCCCTCTGCAGTTTTCACTTTGGAATAATGCAAAAAAACAATTCCATTAATCATTTGTCAGCATCCTTTGTTGGTACATTGTATTGTTGTGTTGAACTCTACTGTAAAACAAATTTCCCTGAGGGAATGATCATAAATCATCATTCCATCATACTGTTTTCAGCATCATTGATAAAAGAAATTCAACATTAAGTTCTTTAAAAAGTACCACAGTACTGTCCCATAAACCCTCTGTGTCATGTTGCCTCAAGACTAGAACGTCTGACTTTTGCTCCGCTTATAAAAAGGTGAAGACCATTTTTATATGCGCTTGGAATGGCTAGGGTCAAGTAATCCAGCACCAGTTCAATTGCCCTGAAACACCTCTACAGATTCTTCAAGGGAAGTGTTGTATTTTTGATGTAGCAATTTAAATTGCAGGTCTTCCATTTAGAGCATATAATGGAATGAATATTTATCACATTTGCTCATGAACTGACTTTCTCAATGCTTTAATAGAGAAGCTGTCCTTGCTGGTTTTAAGTCTGGAGAGCTGCAGGACAATTTAGAGAAAATATGCATGGGTATTTGTAGATGGGTTAAGTTCAGCTATTCACGTGTGGGTGCAGCACAGAAATCTGCTGCAGGTGATTTCTGTTAGGTTCTTTTTAAAGATAGGACTTTAACATTTTCTAGATATGAGGATTTGCTAAGCAACTTTAGAGTCAATTTCTAACCTATAAAAAGAGCTGAGAAGTTTTTTAATTCAAATTTTTAAATTACTTGTATTTTGGGATATTTCCAATAATTTTAGTGAATACATAAACTCTGCATTGCCTTCTTTCCTATAGGTGTTCAGCAGCATTCTTTGCAGAAGAGCGATCAGCACTCAAACAGAAAAGGCAAAAAATTAGATTACTGCAACAAAGGAAGTTTACAGATGTGTCACACTGCAAAGATCTTCCAGAGGAAATACCACTGCCTTTAGTTATTGGAACAAAAGTTACAGGTATACACTTTCATATGAAATCTCTGCCCTTTCATGGTCCTGCGAAATCAGAGCAAACTACAAATGGATTTATCAAACAGTAATCTGTTTTGCCTTAACTATTTTAAAGGGAATCAACCCTAGACAATCAGTTTTTATTATTTTTCTACTATCACTGGTCTGTGAAGATAAAAGTATTTCTATTTTCAGTTAGTAGCTTGATAGTAATCCTTTTGTTTGTAAAGAAATTACAACCATATTTTGAGTGAACATTTATTGCATTATACTGATAGAAAATTCAGTGCACAAAATGTTTGTTTGGCAGAAGTTTAATTTGCACTTTGGTTTAATTGATTTTCCTAAGCTATTGGTATGATTTTTGTAGTTGTAGTTAAATTCCTTGTTTTCTGCTGCTGTAACATAATAGATTACTTACACATGTGAGTGGTGTTTAGGTTTCGTTGTTTAGCTAGCCTTGGCTAAATTCTTTTCCTCCTTACATTACATTCGAAGTGAATGGAAAGATTTTGTTACATTGTCCAGATAACACTTTTCTTTCTCAAAGTGTCGGCAGAAATCTGCCAATGCAAAAGCATCGTCATATACTGAGTGAGTCATGTATATGATAAAGTGCCTACAATTTTAAACACCTAGTTTAGATTCCATTCAAAAAATATGACAAGCATCAAAAGAAATGAGACTTTGTTTTATACAAAAATAAGGCAGGCAGCTTGAATATCAAATTTGAATGTTTAATTTTGATTGGGAATTAACCTGTTGAATGCCCATTCTGAAAATCAAGACAAGAAAACAGAAAGAAGTAGGGCCTATTGCCTCATCACAAGACTGCCTACACATACGGACTCTTTGAAGCCTTTACCAAGTTCATTTGGAGGTCAAGAAGTTGTAGTACAACAGACTTTATCTGACAAGGGAAAGAGAACATGTTTTAAAGGACAATTATCTTTGTATCGGTTGTGCCCTGTTGCTCCTGCAGCAAGAGAAAAAATATTGACTGCTAACATTTCTGTGCAAAAGATTTTTTTACTGCTGCCCCAGACTGAGACAAACATAGTCAGATGACAGTGTGTGGACACTTGAATTCTAGTTTCTAACACAACAGTGATGTGTGTGTGTGTATATATAATAAAACAGAAGACTACACACCTTGAGCAGCCACCCACATTTTTATAATTTGTGTTGGAATACCAAACCCAGCAAATATAATATAAGTGTTGTCAACAGTTCTTCATAAAAAGAGTTCCAGAGCTGCACCCATCACGCCATAGCAACAGTTTGCTTTGGAGCTGGAGGTCATCTGCTAGCTGTGACCTCGCTGAGTCTCCACCTCCACCACATGTAGGTATAGACAACAATCACAGCTGCTGCCTGTACAACATGCACTGTTCCACAGCTTCATGCTATGCAGATGTCAAGCTGACCACCTGCTGAATCATCTCCATGAGTGACACAAATGTCTGACTGTCCTCTGTGTGTTTGCTCAAGAAGCTAGTTGTAAGTGGAGCAGCAGGAGTGCTTCAGACGGAGAGACCCCCTTTGAACGCTAACAAAAGAAAAAACATCACCCAGGTACACAGAACAAGTGTACTGCTGTGGGCCCATTAGTTGCCAAATATTTCTTGAAGGGGCTAAGTCATGAAAAACACTTTTAACTTGGAGAACAAGAAATTGGTCAAGTCACATGAACATAATCAACAGCACTCAGCCAGGAACATAAGCCAGAGGGAAGGCAAGGCACATTTTCTAGGCAGATAAGGACATGGATGTAGCTGTGAATGCTATTCCACCAGAGTGCCAAGGGGCACCAGCAAAGATGTATTTGACCATGGATCAGATGTAGACCATCCTCAGGAAATTGCAAGGATTGCAGCTGACGTTGGACTTTGCCATCAAAAGGGGGTAACGAACTCATGCATTTTCCTCTTAAGATCTGCAGGACCTGAGAGAGAAACATGACAGCTTTCCAGCACAGAAAGGGTGATTCTGCCGCAAAGTCCTTTCACAACAGGCTTGGAGAGTAAAGGACAGTACAGATACCACTGGCCTGGTCAGCAACGCTAGCAGCCATATGAAAGATTGTACAAGAAGTGTAAAGAATTTCATCAGTTCATCATGGGGAAGGACAGCTAGCTATGGGTCCGGCTGATACATCCCTGTCAAGATTGATGACTTATCAGTTAATGTTGTCATAAATACTGATGTGGAAGTCACCATGATCTCCATGGAGTTATGCCAACAGCAGAAGATGGAAGAACTGCTAGGCACCACTCCAGTACAGCTGCTTAGTGCAGAATCAGTGAAAGAATTGTTGGCAGTTGGAGCAAGTCACTCAAGTGTGAAGTCATATGTTGTAGACATTCAATACATACTTTTGCGAGGATTGGGCTTCATGCTTGCCACAGACACAGGGCAAGTGTTCTTCAGAGGATAACTGGACCGCAGTATTTTTTAGTGAATTGATTAATCGGGGCAGAAAGTAGTAGCTTTTCTTGGGAATCTAAACTGATGAAATTTCTGGGTCTGCCTCGTTTTGAATTACAATGTGTGTATGTGTATATATTACACAGATTAACAAGACCTCTCCTCCCACCTTTGTGTTAATTTGCCACAATGTTCATTATATATTTTAGATTTTAGTATGCTAAATCAATTACACATTACCTGTGTGTTTAGTTTGAAATGCTTCTCTAAACGTGTGCCGTAATGGTAAAGTAGAAGGGATTAATGCTGATTGATCTCAGATAGGTCAGTCTGGGGCAGGACTTTTGATGTAATTCTGGCATGAATGAAATTTTCACCAGATTTCTCTGAATTTTTGCATGTGAGAACTCAAATTACGCGATATGACATGGCCCAACTACCACAATAACTACTGTGATTATAACACATCAGGGATCTTGCGGACACTTGCCTACGATATTGTGCACAGCCACCCCAGGCTTGGATTAATGCCAACAGTATACTCTGTTTCTTTATCCAAGAAATTCTAGGCTTTTTTTTTAATCCCTTGTTTCCTCTAATGATCATCTTTTGAACTTGATTAGGCTGTCTATATAATTCTTACAATAATGGATTTTTAAAATATTTTAATGATTGTTCCTGATCTGTTTTAATTTTCAGCTCGACTGAGGGGTGTACATGATGGCCTTTTTACAGGACAGATAGATGCAGTTGACACAAGTGCAGCCACCTACAGAGTTACGTTTGACAGAAATGGATTAGGAACACACACTGTTCCTGATTATGAAGTTCTCGTAAGTCTAGCTACATTTTTGTGGTAATCTGTGAATTTTCATAGCTGTTTGCCAATTTGAAGCTGTTAGGATTTTATATTTTATGTTTGCACACTTAAAACCTGACAGTATTGTCATTTTATCCCTAATTGTTTTGAAGTCTGTTCAGATTTCATCTTTACACTTGAAGAAGCTTTTTATTTTCCACATCTGTTGGTGCGTTGTGCGCCATCTTTATTAATTCTTTTTCTTCTCCCCAGAGCAATGAACCTCATGAGACGATGCCGATCTCAGCCTTTGCTCAGAAACAGCGGCCTTCCCGGTTCCAAGCTTTTATGACCCCACCCCGTCTGCCTTACACAACTTCTGTACAGCACCCTATCATGGTACGTAAGTTTTTCAGTCTAGTTCTTAGCATGAGCATGCCATGTTTAAATCCTCCATTCTTAACTTGAGTTGCTTAAAAAGGTCAGTAATTATTGCAAGGTGCCCATAATTTGTGACACTTAAATAAGCTCACAGTGTCTCAATGATATATAAAAGTTATTTTAACCATGAATATTTGCATTTTTACAGTAGAAGAAAGCAAAGCTTATAAATAAGCTAGTAAGAACTAATCTTAAAACTCTGACAGCCTACTTTCCTGTACTTTGAATAGTGGAGTACCACTAATAAAGATGATAATATTGAATAGAGATTTGAGAGTCTAGTAATCCGTTTTTATTCTGTCTTTGGAGCCTTGTGCATTAATATAATACAAATCTACAAAATTGTATTCAATATTTAGACATCTTGCACATCCTTAATGTTTTTGTAAAGTTAAATTAGTGACTTTCAGTAACTGATTTACATTGTAATCAACAAAATTTGAGGACTCTTAGATACATTTTAAAACACAAGGGGTCTTTTGTCAACTAATAGTTGCTGAAAATGACTTTCCAATGAAAACTCCCGCTTGTTGCACAAGTATTTTGTCTTTGCTCTAAGCTTGTTGTTGTGGTTGACAGCTGATTCGTCAGAGATAAAGCCCTAAACCTTATTGCCGTTTAAGCACAACTCTTATGAGACAGGCAGTGGATCTCTGTTTTTGGACAAATCCAGAGGCCGTTATTTTTCATCTTTCTCAAGGATAACGATCCCCTTCTTGGTCAGTCATCTTGGAAGAGTAAGCTGTCGGGCACTGATGGAGAGACACTGGGTGGTTTTCCAGTGAAGTTTCTTGTGCAAGTCGTAAGTAGAATTTCAAAACTCAAGTTGTATTTAGTTTTATTTCTTTAAATTAGAAACTCTGTCCTAGTTTTGGAATAGTATGAAATTTGTATGAAATACAATAACTGGCGGTTTTATGAACGTCTTCTCAGTTTTTCTTTCTCTTTTCTAGACAAGGTTATCAAGAATCCTCATGATTAAGAAAGAGCATATCAAGCTGTTGAAGGAAATGAATACTGAGGCAGAGAAACTGGTAACATGTTTTAAAGATACTTTTTTTTTTCTCCTGGTTTCTTGTCTTTCTCTTCTTAACAAGAATGTTCAGTAGAAGTTCTATTGATTACTTCTATAAAGTTACATAGAGCCCCACAAATGTATGTTGTGTTGTCATAAAACGTAATGAGGATAGTGAAATATGATCTATTCCAATTAAAACTAGCTTGTGTTTTAACATTATGAAAAACATTAGAATGGAAACCGTACTGGGCAGTAGGCATTCAGGTAAAGGGGAGTGTTTGGATTTAGAATTTAATACAGAGAAAACAGAGGGTAGAGACCAGGGGTAAATGCTCAAATTGGTGTGATGTACTATACTCGAATTAATGCAGGGATATGTACTAGGGCCACAGCTCTTCGTAATAAACTTTGTAGTTAACTATTATATAACTATAATTAGTAGACTATAATTTGGAGAATAAAGCAAATTAGGAGGATTACAAAATACTGTAGAAGCAGCAAATAAAATTCAAAAAAGATCTAGAAAACATTCAAGACTGGGCAAAAGCCTGGCAGATGAGGTTTAAATGAAACAGTAGAGAAGTACAGAGTGCAGACAAGTGTAGGGTATTTAATGCAGGTAAAGAAATATCATTTTAATATAAGATCATTAATGGGAAAGCTGAGCTAGAAGGGGCTACCTAAGAAAGTTAACATGTAATCTTTGGATAATTTCTGACTTTGATTTATATCCAACTTTATTTGGTTATTTTTGTTTTAGAATTTTAGGAATAACGGATGCCATTGTTTTTTGAGAAAGTCCTACACTGCAATTGTGAATGATGTATTTGCACATTTATACTTTTCTTTGTGAACAGCAGTTTACAAGGCGTTTACAACTTCTAGTGTCTGTTCTGCTCCATGTTGTATCTTCTGAGTGAAAACCACTTGTATCTGTCAAATAAGCAGTTTATCTGAAACTGCCAATTAATTCATTAATGAGTTTCTACTTTGATGTCACAGTTTATTGTGATTAAATTTGTTTTTTTTACAGAAATCCTACTCAATGCCAATAGGATTTGAGTTTCAGAAGAGGTATGCTACCATTGTGCTCGATTTAGAGCAGCTCAACAAAGATCTCAACAAAGTCTTGCATGAAGTGCAAGCGTACTGTTATGAGGTAAGGTTTTGCACATTTTGGTAGAAAACAGCCTGTTCAGATAAGATTTCATCTGAAATTTAACAAGCCATTTTTACACTATGGATATGGTAAAGGACAGCCGTTGTGCTGAATCATAGCCTTCAGTCAGAAATAAGTTGCAAAAATTACATTTCCACTAGACAATGGTCATAGTTCTGTAGTTGTGTTAACATAAGACAAACTGAGCTAGGGACATTTTAAAGTAAATGAGGGTATGAATGCATAGACCAATTGAAGTGCTAAATGGATGAAAAGGAGAGGTTTGGAAAACACTAGGGATTTTTTTATATGATTTAGTTAAAAGCTTGTTTTTACTAGAAATAAAATTATATAATGTCCTATGAGGATGAACCCCCTACTCCCGTGTAAGAGTTGAAAAAAGTTGTTGCAGTAATTCCTCTTGTTCTGACTAGTATTTATTGATGTGGAGTTGGTAGGTGTAAGTGCATTAAGGGTTTGTTCCGGACAGTTCTTTGTTTTCCTCTTTGACAGCTGGCTCCTGAGCAGGGCATGCAGCCAGCAGACCAGCCCTCTGATCTGCGGCGACGATGCGAGGAAGAAGCCCAGGATATAGTAAGACAGGCAAACACACTGTCCAACGGGCATTACTCTATCCAGAATGAAAGCCTTACAGATCTCATCTCAAGGCTCACAGCACTCCTTCTCCAGATAAAGGCAAGTATATCCCAGAGGTTCGCCTGAAGTCTGAGGCGGTTCATACAAAGAGCACTTAATCCCAGCCCTTTAGATGGAAAATTACTTCACTGAATATGCTAGGGGCAGTACTATAAAGTACTGTAAAACTTCCAAGGGTGAAAACTAGTTTTTTATGCATTGCTAATAATCGAAATGCATAGAATATTTTTAGAAGAGGGGTGAATTAAAATGTGAATTTAAAGTAAATGAAAACATAAAAGGTTTCACAAATTGAATTTTAGGAATGACCAATGTTGTGGTTTTTGTGAATTGTGTTTGCATTGACTATGATATTACTGGTGATTATTGTCCTTCCTCTGTCTGGATCACAATGATATTAATACTGAACTGCTTATTTAAATAGAAGTAAAATTCATAGCTTGGGCTTTTTATTTATTTTTACAGTGTCTGGCAGAAGGGAGTGACTTGAATTCTTTTGAATTTAAATCCTTGACTGATTCACTTAATGACATCAAGAACTCAATAGATAGTTCAAATATCAGGTAAGATTGGATGTATAATTGATATACAAAGTCCTGCCTTGTACATTTGCTCTGGACATAACACTGTTTGCCAATATGTAAACTATTTTAAACAATTAAAATTAACATCAGTGTTTTGCTAACCCTCTGCACAGAACAAACAAGAAAATCAAAGATTCAGACTGTACAATTCATTGTGATAGATCTTTTCCATACTTTCAGAATGTTGATAAGCTGGGGTTCTGCTAGGAGTATTCCATATACAGTAGTAGACATAAGACAAGGAATGGGTATTTTCAGCTTATTTTAGGGTGTTTTCAGCTGGTTTTTTTAAAAATAAAGCCATTATCCATGAGGACAATGCTGTCCTGGCTATTAGAAAGCAATTGCATCCCTGTTTATACTTTTGTGACTGAATAGTTACGAAAATAGTTTACCCTTTGTGATGCATTAATCAGTTGCTTTCATTGGTTATCTCAACTGCTGCCACTGTGCTTAAAAGAGTAAGGAGTTGAATTACATAAAACTGGCTATGTGTTAAATTAAGGATATACAGATTGCTTGTGAATATATTATAGTGGATTTATTGAACAAATGCATATATATATGAAATAAATATTATATAAATATGAAAGTATGGGTGTTGCAGCAGATAATATATTCACAATACCATATAATAATGTGATGCTAAGCATGAGTTTTGTGTAGCTCCAGTGAAAGTCTTGTGATTTATTTAGATTCTACAATGGAATTTATTCTTTAGTAAAGAAATGCATTTTATTAAGCAGAACTAACGTTAATTATAATTCCTTACACTTATATAACGCTTTTCAGGACACTTCAAACAATGGTCACCAGACAGTGGACTCTGTTAATGGTTAATAGAACTGGTTAATGTAAGGATATTTTGGGTTAAATATTGGGGTAATACATTACGTGTATAATGTTAGAACATTCAGAAAAATATTTTTGGAACTTGTAAATGAAACTTTCTGAGTTATCCTGTTCTCATGGAAATAGCATAGATCTTTCACTTCAGTTTGTCAAACATTTGTCATAATATTTTTTTATTTTCTGTTAATAACTTAACTTTCTTGAATTACATGAAATTACACCTGCACCACTTTTTTCAAATGTAATTTGTTCGTATAGTGAAAATTCATAAAAAGGAACGCCTACTTCCATTATTTCTTTTTGGGGGAAAATTACAATTTGTTCTGGATCCCAAAAATGTTACCCTTGCTTTTACCTTTTTCACCAAAAAAATGATAAAAGAAATAACTAACATTCAGCCTGTTTTGTGTTTTTAGTAATAAATTGCTACATAGTTAGACAGCCTTAATCAGAACAAAGTACTGTAACCACTCCATTTGTGGTCCATGATAGTCTAAACCACAAATATTCTTATAATAAGAGCGCACGCAATAGCAAATAGCGCCCAAAGCAAAATGCAGTGAACTGTATTACACAAGTTTTTCATGCCTGTGCTAGCTCTCAGCCATACTAGTTTAGTGGGGTATGATGCAAAAACTCAGTATGAAACTAGTTGTACAATGCCTTCATCTTCACTTTTTACATTGGCCAAGGTTGTAAAAATTCTTTGTATCCCTTTTTCGAAGTTGGCTTTCGTTATTCAAAATGTGGATAACAATTCACATGCTGTGTACTATCAAATGTGCATAATAAGAACATTTATTTAAAAGAGTTACTGTTGTAGATGTAAGTGTTCCTCATTAATAATAACAGAAAACTTCCCACTGTAATGTTTTATGAAATCTTTCATGATTTGCATGTGCAAAAATGTAAAGGTATTACAAGTACAAATATGAAAACTATTTTTTCCTTGCATATTTATAGAGATTATAACTGATTTATTTATTGTTTTTTTTTGTAGTTGCTTCCAGGATAATGTGGAGATTCATGTTGCACATATTCAGAGTGGTTTGAGCCAGATGGGGAATCTTCATGCATTTGCGGCCAATAACACCAACAGAGTCTAAGTTTTACAACCATGTGTATTATTGTACAGTATGAGAAAATGGCTCTATTAACTGTAAATATTTCATAAATGTATGTAAATATAAATCTAAAAACTTAACAGAATAACAAGATTTGTCTTCTGCAAATCTGGCTGATTTGTGCTTGGATATTGTGCCGCAAACATTTTGAGGCATGTCGCCTTGAATATTCTCTTCAATTATATTTTATTTCCAGGCTGTAGAGGAAAACATTTGCATTTCTTTTTATTTTGTACACTATCCTTCATCTTAAGATTGAAGTCATTTCACATTATCTTGTCAGTGTGCATATGGGGTGCTAAACTATTTTTTACTTTTTTTAAAAAAAGTCAACCCATTGTTCATTCAGTGAAAAGTCATCATAATTCAAGCAGAAATGTTATCTTTCTTTGCTTAACATTGTGCCAATCCAAATAATATTTAATCTATAACATAGAGTAGCACATAAGCCTGCTTAATTATATTTCATTGTCTCCTTGCAGTTTTCATTTTACAGCATTGCAAGAATGAGCAGTCTTAAATGTGTGTAAAGTTTAGAAATGTGTACGTAGGAGCATTGTAAACTACACTGGCTTTAAAGAGTGTCTGGTTTCACCGGAATGCATCTAAAAACAGCAGTTTTATTCACTGTTAATTGATAAATTAAATGTTTCCTTCTCTGGAGTATTTTGTTTTAAGCGAATTGTTAATTTAAACTTTAAATACTCAGTACCTTAAGTGGAGCAAGAATATTGCTCTGAGAAACTTCTTAAATATTTTAAAACACCCTTCCCTACTTATTCAACCTGATAATTAAAAAATGTCTGAATTGAATCTTAAAGTTGAATTCAGTCACTTCATTTCTATACACTACCTTTCCAGTGACCTTGTGGTGCCTTTTCATTTGGAACTGATAAAAGATGCTCCACTAACATGTTACTGGATATTCTCTTAATGCATTTAGAAGTATATTGTTCTGCTTAAATTATTATACATGAATGCCTTTGTGCCAAGCAAGGTTTCATCCATAGTAGTTCCAATTTCCCTTTTAACCAAATTTTATGGCAATATTTTTCTGTTACTCAAGCCTCTAGCAAATCTAAAAAAAAAAGTTTTGTAAAAAATACAAAGGTATATCTTGCTCAAAGAGCATAACATGGAAGAATGTTAGCACTCTGCAGGACATCTTTTGGGTAGGATTTTACTTTTTAATTTGTTGCATCTTTTTACTAGTTAGGGTGTCTGTGCAGTTCATTGTGTATTTACTGCAGAATTTTAATTTATTTAATGTTATACTTCTGTGTAAGCAAACATGGCAATGCATTTTGCAATTTAAAATGTCTAATCCAGCAATGCTTTGTAAAGTGATTGTTTTGTGTAGATTATTGTAAAGTTGAAAATTAGTTTTTGAAGCTTTTAGGTTTATTGTAGTAGTGTTTCAAAATACCTCTTATATGTAGAGGTGACTTTTTTACTTTTATGTAAGTATATTAAAAGAAAATATTTTTATCTTCAAATTTTGTACACAATTACCAATTTTTGCTATCTTTTCAAGAGGAATTGTGAAGTTTTAATCACCTTAACTATCCCCTCCTGTTTTTAAGATCTACTTCTGTTCATAATCACAACGCTACTTGTATGTCCTTGGAAAAAATAGTAAGTGCACCCTTTAAGATGCAAATAATTTAAAGCTTCTTTATAGTCACATACCTAGTAATGTACCTTCTAAAGCTACACAAAATACAAACACAGGTTTTAATGACTTCATAACTTTTGACTCACTGGGTGTCTGTGCATATTTTAGCATTCTGGTAATGATCTTTAAATGTGTATTTGTAAATATTTTCTTTGCAGTTCTGAAGCATTAAAAAATTATGAAAGCAAATGACTTGTCTTCTTTCCTATATCTGGTTTGTTCTTTATATATTTGAAATAAGTTTCTTCAGGTATGTGTGGGATATGATTGTGGGGTTTGAATGTTTATACAAACCATACAACATATCATCTTAAGGTCAATACTGAAATGACCTGACTGGTTAAAGAAATCTTAGTTCTCCTGTTTTTACATCAACAGAAAGTTAAATTTTCCATGATACCTTACTCATCCCTACCAAAAAACTTGCAGCTACTGTATTTGTCTGGGTAAGTAGACTGCCACCTATGCACAATTCTTGTGAAAATTTATAAATAAATGGCAACCTAATTTTCTTTGACAAAAATGTAATAGTTACTGTGTCACACTGGAAAAAGAGGTTCAAATTAAAGTTTCATTTGCCATTTGTAAATTCTTCACATTATAATAAATATCAATTTTTCAGTTACCAGACCGTTCTTCTGAATAGTACTCATCTTTGGAAGTAAAATAGTGTATTGCTTGCTTGACTTTGGAAGGATGGAGGAGAGAGAATTTGTTTAAAAATGTGTATTTCAAAATCCACGTGATTGCTTTGCAGTACTACACGGTTCTGATTGCAGCCAGACAAACTCATTCACGGGACTCGGACGCACTTAAAACCTTACCTGTCCCTCCCCAGTCCAAGCAGGGCATGGGGTGATAAATCGGTTCCAAATACACACCCGACACAGTGTTACAACATAAATAACAGGAGACGTAAGGAACACCTTTCGAACAACAAGTAACAGCTGTAACAATAGGGAGCAATTAGTACAGATTACCTACAGTCCCCGTCACATCTATGTGTTAATCAGGTCCCCAGGGGAGACCGCAGTCCCATGTCCTGCTGCAAGGGGGGTCCGAGTGTTATAATGTATAGGAGGGATGGGTGTGATTCTCTTAAAATGTCAAAAGGCCACTATCAATTGATCAAGGACAGCTTTGTTTAAAATACGATTAAATCCCACTGCTTGCTGTTTGTTTTACAGCCTGCATTGCATGGTAAACTGCAGATTGCAATGGTCTTGCATGCTTTTAGTCCAGTTACTTTTTCACACCGGTGTATCCGGTGACCAACGAGTGTGCGCGACATCTTAAAATGTTACAAAGGAACAGATAAAGATTTATTCCATACTGAAAAGGAAAAGAAAAGAGACACAGCGTTTCGGCTGTGGAGCCTTCTTCAGGCTCAAAATATGAAAACGGATGTCATAAAATATTTTACGAAATTATTTCAAACGCGATTATTAAAGGTCAAGGTTACACTTAACCTGAAAATAGCCTTTTCCGACCACATTTTTACGCCTAACCTCAAAATACTTTATTTTGGGCTTGTGTTAACAAGCGTATAAACACCGTCACGACTCCTTCAAAGACAAAAGAACACCATACAACGTGCATAAAAGCCGGATAGCAAAAAAAAAAAAGTCACAGCCACAGAAAGTCTGCCTGTGTATCTTTGTTGTACAGTGTTTAATTTTGTCACGGGCTATTGGCAAAAGTAAGCACCAAATATGATTCGAACACTGCTCTTACCGAGAGCTAACTCTATACATTTCTCTTCACGCATCGCATCGTAATATTACCATTTAAAATAATCAAATACATCCCCTTATCACTTCTGTAAGACGCGCTATTAAAACTCGATGGACTACAATGTAGCTCGTCATACTGCGGATTTTTGCTTCACATTTTAAAGTAATATATGAGCATAGTACTACAGACAATCCTGAACCATCAATGAGGTGACGCTGTACCTTTTGTCTTCATTTTCTATCAAGTGACCCCTTTATAAGTTTAATTGCTGATCACAAAGATAGAAGGATCAGATGAATGAATATGAATCTGTGACATACAGGACATGTGTGTGCTTAATGTCTTTCTGGGATCATAAGTGTAAGGTATTTGTATGTTTTACCATGTTTACAATTCAAGAAACTTTTCAACAATACATGGAAATATGGTGCTGTTGTGGTTAGCATTACTGCATTCCAGCTCTTGAGCCCTTAGTTCAATTCCCTGGATGATATCTGCATGGAGTTTGTATGTTCTCCCGGTCTTTGCTCCGGTTTCCTCCCACAGTCCAGAAAAACTGGCAAATAACTTCTGGAACAGTTGTCCCTGGTGTGTGTGCACCATGCGTTAGACTGGCATCCCATCCAGGGACAGAAACAGAAACCTTTGGAATCTACTGCAGTTTCATTTGATGCTTAGTATCTGAAAACATACTGGTAGGTTAATTGGCTTCTGTGAAATCTGGCCCTGGTTTGAGTGTGTGTCTGTGTCTCCCCTGCAATGGACGGTGGGATAGTCTCTCGCTCCCCTGTGACCATGTACTGGATTAAGGTGGCTCGAAAATGGATGGATGCATAATGTCTGAGGCTAGTTTTAGTTTTTAAACAAGTCAGCATAAAATCTTAAATATTCCAGGTAGTTTGTAATCAATATAAACCCAAGGAAATATTACAGAATTGCATTAAAAGATGCGACAAAAGAGCAGACCAATGGGAAATGATGTGTGGCAGATGCATCCAGAAGGCATCCCTGAGCATTTTCTTTTTTTTTTATACTATTGCAGATTACTATCCTGAAATGTTCACTAGAAGGCCCCAAAAGGGCATTTTTGTGCACTTCTTTACTACTATTCCCTGGAGCTGACACACATACCCCCGTTAACACCCCCCCACAACTTCCCCTGGGCTTCCACTTTTTATAATTATCTGTTCTATCCAATGGTTCAACACATAGTTTAAACTTTATTTTTAAAAAAAAACACTCGATAAAAATGAAACATACTATTTGAATTAAATAAATATTCTTTATTTTTTATCATTATACAGTAACACATGCAACTGTAAGCTCTAATGTATTTTGATAAATATCTCAAAATCATAGAAACTGACATTTAATTAAATCAGAATTGGTTTTGAATTCTTCAATAGACATATATTGAGATCTCCACACTACAAACTCCTTTGTTTATCTTTTAAAAAACTTGTTTGAAACACTTCTCATGACCTAAACGCAGATATCGATGACTCAGTTCATTTTTTAATGAACACAACCTTGCAGCACTCTTTTAGTGTGTAGGTATTTTTACTGCCTTTTAATTTATAATCTCATCTACACTCCATCTCATCTAGGTATTTTTAAAGATCTGAATCACTGGTATCATTCACTATGAATTCAAAACTTAAATCTAAGCAGCTTTTGATTCATAGCAACGCTTTTCGTGCCAGCCAGATCTCTTCTTAGGCTTAGGTCCTGTTACAAATACAAACCTCTTCAGAAAACTTGCTAAATCCCCATTCCTTGTCAAAATTAAATCCACAACCCCAGAAATGATGACACTGTCCTTGCCAGAGTCAGAATCAGAAAACTGTCTCCTCTTTCTACATTACTGGGGAGAAAAAAAATGACTGGGGTTGATAGGTTTCATTTGGTGGCCTGGGTACACAAGAGGTTTCGGTGACGATCCAAATAGGTCTGCAGAGGTAGGAATTGCCACTTTCATTTCCGGTCCAATTGTCTTGTTGGGTGGGAAATTATCATAATCCATCAAGACGTGCGCAAGAGTTTTGCTATCATTCTTCTGTAGAGGGACCTGTGGTTCTGAAAAACGTGCTTTGGTTTGTAGTTCGTCCTTGAAATTGCTCGGTAGAGATCTGAAATATTGTCCAGGCTGTGTTTGATTTTGGAGCTGGGCAAATGGCATAGCTGTAGCACTGATGGGACTGTTCTGCCTTTTAAGGACAGATGAAGTTCCTGTTTGACGGCGAGATTTGGCACGTCTGTTCTGGAACCAAACCTGACAGCAGAAGACATGAAAGAGTGTTATTGTGTTGTCACCTCGAGAAATGCCTCAATTATTTAATTCTATTTAATTATATTGTATATTTTTAGGGAATTGTACAAGGCTAGCATGAATATTAAAAAGATTAACAACATCCTACTACTTTCAGTTCTGAAGCCTTATTTACTGTTAAATGTGGTGGCACTGTGGCTAAGGATCTGCGCTGCTTGCCGGTTCAGATCCCATGGCTGGCAGAGAAATCCTACTCTGTTGGGCCCCTGAGCAAGGCCCTTAACCCCAATTGTTCCATGGGTGCCGTATAAATGGCTGACCCTGTGCTCTGACCCCAAGCTTCTCTCTCCCCGTCTATATGTCTATAGTTGGGGTATGTGAAAAGACAAATTCCTAATGCAAAACATCGTATATGGCTAATAAAACAAACTTATCTTATCATATAGCAATCAATTAGGAATGCTAAATAGCTATGTCTCTAGTCTTGCTTAAAAACAAATGTCATTACTTGTGCAAAATATTGTTTCTGTTTTTAATGAAATTTCCAACATTACAAAGGAAAAAAACTGGTGCTCAGTAGTATGCTGTACAAACTGGACCATCATTATCACTTTCCATGGGCAACAACATGCCCCAGGGGGCTTGAAAGGGTTGCAAGTGTAAAAGGATGTGTAGTGAATCGCTTCAGAATCAATTACATTTCTAACTTGTACCTAAATAGTGCACGCTTTTTACATTTTCTTATACAGTTAGTTGAATAGGCCAGCTAACATGTTGCATACTACTTCCCTCCCCAGCTTACTTGAATTCTGGACTCTGGGAGGCCGGTGACCTTTTCCAGCCTCTCTCGCACGTAGATATCCGGATACATGGAAGTGGCGTACACCCGTTCCAAAACTTCTATCTGCTTTTGCGTAAAGGTCGTTCTTTTTCTCCTTTGCGTTATTACTGCCATCCCGCCAGCTCTCTGACCCGAAGGATTGGCTACGGTGTAGTAAGCGTTGATTTCAGCACTTAATTCTGAACCAAGAAAGGAATAAAGAAAATACACACACATGTAATTACAAAAACTGCGTTATGTGAAGAATTACCTGGTACAAAAGTAGAGTACAGCCACATCACTTTACATAAGATCTAATAATTCTCTCGGTAGAAAGTCGTTTTTTGAAAAACCGGAATTTTGAATTAAGCTTCATTACCTGATGTACTTTCTGTGCAAGTCGTGGATGTACTTCATATTACTTCTTGTTTTCTTGTTTCTTTATCATTTATAATGTATATAATTTGGGTTGCGCATAATAAAACGCATTACAAAGTTTAAGATTACAAGCACACCTTTAAAAGATTTCTAAATCACCTGCCGTTAACAAAATACCAGATGGACAAAAATAGCAATACTGCCCAAAAATGAGTTTTAGAGACACGCAACTCCTTCAGCTTACCTGCTTGAGCAATGGCACACGTCGTGTCGGAGCGGTTCACATTGTAAGAAGTGATGGGGCTGCTGCTCTCCCCAGCCAAAAGATCTTGAAGAGTAGTCATGTTCTGTTAACTCCTTCCAGGCTTGGTCTGAGACAGCTTCTCATTGAACCATCTTCTTTATATGAGACTGAAGTTGTTTAATTAGCCTGTCAGTTGACAGGTGTGAACTTTCAGCGATTTCTTTCGACTGGCACCGAAACAATAACGTTTCAGACGCTTTTGTCAAGGGGTCCGTCTAACCTTTGGAAGGTGTGAATTTGCAACCTTTGACGTTTGATAAGCGAGACTGTTGTTAGTTGGTAACAGTAACAAATAAACATGACGACCTTTTTCCTGGAAGATGAAGGATAGAGCCCTCAGAATACACATCGTTGATTGTTTTGTTTAACTTTTAAATAATCCAAAATTAACGTTTTCGCTAAACACATACATCCGCAAGCCACAGTCAAAGCATAGGACTGCAACATTTAAAACAACAAAATAAAAAATACAATTTTGAAAATTCTGTATCTAATTTGAAGCAGTCAAACTGTTGGATTCACTTACGATGTCTAAAGTACCGAGAATCATTAACTATTTTTAAACTTATTGTGTAGGGTGAACACTCAATATACTGTATTTTATATACCTTTGTATTCTATACTTAAAAGAGAGAAATGTTCCATCATCCAAAGCCATTCTTTCCAGTTGGGTTTAAGTGGAAAGAGAATTCTTGAATAGGTTTACTTTTTTTTTAAATAAAAAGCTTGACAAATAAACTTTGGGTACTTTTCTGTGTGTTAAAAGTTAATTTAAAAGAAAATGGATTTGAATAATTGAATACCTGATCATTCAGTTTTTGAAAAGCTGTTTGCCAACACTTTGGATGCTGCTGGTTAATGTTTGTCTCTTTTATTTGTATTATTTATAAATAACATTTCAGCACAGCAAGATTGTAAGTACAAATCAACACATCCTCATTTTCTGTATTGAGGTCAGCATTTTATCTTGTTTAGGTGAGTGCATTTCCACCTGATATATGAACTATATATGATATATAAATGTATTCTGTGTAGATTCATACCTTATTTACACAACTTAATACATTTTGACCAACTGACTACTATAGTTAACTCTAAACCAGTAAACTCTACAACTGAAGATTGCTTGCACCATTTCTGTGTATACAGACAATTCAGACTTGGGAATGTCTGATGCAAAACTACTCCATTAATGAAGAATTAATTAGCTAGTCTGTGTTCAGATATGTATTCTATTAATAACACAATATATTCAGTACACCGCGTACAGTTGATTTGACTGAATATATTGATAAAGATAGTTTTACAGTGTTTATTATTGGGGCAAAAGCAATTAAAAAGACACTAACATATTCATAAAAAATATACATTCTTATGAAGTATAATGTAAGATTTTGGCTGATATTCTACATTTTTTTAATACTGAATGCTGTTTGTGTATTTTTAGTGGTAGAATCAGTAATAAAGTTACAAATTAATTTCATTTCAAATTTATCCTTGTTTCTGCCATAATTGGAAGGAGCATCCTTTGGAAACCATAGTACTTAACAGTTTTCTGTTTGATTATTATACTGTATATTGTTATCGTTTACTGTTTGGTTAAAAGGTATTATCTTGGCATCTTAAGATCTTTACCTTTGAAATACAGTGGTGTTGTAGAATCTATTTATATTTTGTAATAGTGAGGAGACCTTTAATTTTCCATCAGCTTTTCAGCACGGTTGGAAAGTATTTTCTCCCCCGATTTTTTTTTTATTTCTAAGATATATTATCTTCTATTATGCTGAACATTTTGATTTCTTTAGATTGATCTGTACATAATCTGAGTAGTAATATTTGCTCTGACTCAGTAATGATAGAAGGAAAGACAGGCAGGCTGCTGTGTAATTCAGCATCTTCTAGCTTGCAAAGAAACTGTAAAAGCAGACATTGTTTTCCACATATTTCATTCAAGGTAATTTGGTAGAACTCATTCTCCCTTGATATTTTAAGATGTTAACTTTGGTATTGAGTATTGACATTTACTACAAAATACTTTATTGGATGTTGGTAATGTATATAATTAAATGATGATCCATTTTTTTCAAACATATTTAAAAAAGGAATTGCTATGAATATGGGCAGCGGTTAGGCATTGCAGCCCTTAGTTAAGTTCCTGGGGTGCTATCTGTGTGGAGTTTGTATGTTCTCCCCATGCTCACTCTGTCAGCATGGGCAAGCAGACATACTGGTAGGTTAATTGGCTTCTGGTGTGAATGTGTGCATGTCTGTGTCTATATGTGCCCTGTCTAGTGCCCATTGCTTGTCAGGATAGGCTCCAGCTCCCTGTGACCCTGAATTGTAAGAAGCAGTGAGAAAATGGATGGATGCTATGAGTACTTTGATTAATTGGAATGTAGAACTACTTTAGGATTCGATACATTTAATGAATTGATATGTCTTAGAATTAATGATTTAGCACCCACTGAAATATGTGTTTGTGTTACTATTTAAAAAATAAATAAACTAATTTTAATTAGTTTTTTTCTGATTTTGATTTTTACAAGTAGCTCAGGATATGTTTCTGGATAAAGATTAATTTTTAGATGCCTTTTTTAATTTATGATGTGTGAGTGTTCCAGAACATGTCAGAACAAAACAGCCTCTTATCCTTTCCTTGGATTTAATTATAATCAGCCTAGTATTTGTTTCACACTCTCCCACACTCAGTGACAGGTGGAAATAAGGCAGTAATCTAGGGCCTGTGAGGCTGACTTTGTGTTACGAGAGACTTGTTTGTTGTGCTGTTCTTAACAATTGCTATTCATGCAAAGGTAGGAATGCTTTATTTTAAAAGGTTAAAATCATACAATGATCGTGATCAAGATTTACTTCCTCTAAATGAGTTATCTCCAGCTTTTTGTTCTCAGGGAAGTCTCTTCTTGTTGTGTGCACGTATACATGTTCTGAGGGGCTATCTAGTGTTGTGTGTCCTTAATGGATTTCCTGTTTCAGCCTCACATTATACCTTGTGATAGGATTTACTAACATTACAGATAACACAAGAAAGAAATTACGAGGTAAAAACTAAATAACTAAGTAAATAAATAAATATTTCTGATTATGCAATGAGGAGTAATTTTACTTTTGATTTAAACTGTGATTGAAAACTCCTTTTCTCTCTGGTAGGCTTTTCAGCATTGTATGACAGATCTACAGGACAGTCCATTTAAAATGCCAGTATGAAGCCTACTTTTCACACTTCAAAACTTTTTAAATCAATCAAAGTCAATCAATCAAAGTTTATTTATCAAATGCACAACAATATAACTTGCAGCAGTAGTTGCTAGCAATGAAATGTCTTTTCTATGGGCTCAATGGGGGGGGGGATAAAAATCACAAAATTAAGGTTACAAAATAAGGTTATCATCATAATAATAATAGATAATAATGCAATAAAAATTTAATAAAATAAACTCAGACAAACTCAATATAAATAGAGGTGCTATGTGTCTATGGTGTATGCAATATATCATGTCCAAGTAGTGCAGTATGATGTATACAATGAAAACTGTACGTCCATGTAGCCATTACGGGTGATTTGCTGAAGAATCTGCAGGTTGGCTATTTAGCAGTCGTATTATTAATTATTAGAACTTGTTATTAATAATAAGTTCTACATTATTATTATGATTATTATGATTATTATTATTATTGCCTGGAGGTAGATTTCTACACTTTTTGCACACTACCTCTGAGATGTCTTGTATGCTGGATCATGCAGTTAGAATGTTAACTTCTAATTAGAGGCATTTAACAGCTTTTAAATAAATTAAAAGCTCTATAATATACAAGTTACAGATGACTTGATACAAATAACTACATTTTGCCACCATTTTGCAGTGAGTGTGAGTGTTCCTCTCAACCTCTAATTTGAAATGAAGATCACTAAGCTTAGAAGTCTAATAAAATTGAACTGTCAGTATGACATGTTTAGCAATAGGTTCTGTGTGGAGGAATTAACCCCAACATTTTCTACGCTAGACTCAAATGTTTAATTTCTTAGGTCTTATTAAATTGTTAAACAAATATCACATATAATATCACATACATTTATAATAATCACAACAACAACAACAATAATAATTTGCATTTAGAAAGACCTTTTCCTCATGAAAGATAAAATAATACCTCCCACAATGCTGCAAAAATACACAAAATGCACATTTTTAAATCAACATTTTCTTTAAAACCTGTGTTCTTAAAGATGTCTAAGGGCAAGATAAATTATAGTAAAAGTCAGAAAAACTCAAGAGGAAACTAGACAATAATTTAGACCCATGAACTTAAACTTTGGTGGAAGCACCTTTAGCAGCAATCACAGCCTCAAGTCTTTTGGGTAAGCCTCTATCAGCTTTGAACACTGGCTTAATGCAGTTTTGGCCGATTCTTCTTTACAACTTTTCTTAGGCACTCTCATTTGCTTGGTGATCATGGAGAGTTCGACTGTGCCATTAAAAGACAGTCACTTATTCTTAAGCCAGTCCAGGATAGCTTTGACCCTTTGACACTTTACCCTACTTTTAAGTTTGACGAGATTTCCTCTAACATTACCTTTCTTCATCTATGTTCCCATCATTCTTGACAAGCTTGTCAAGAAGCAGAACTATAATATAAAGCTGCCACCACCATGCAGGGATGTTGACTGAGTGAAGAAAAACTATGCTGAAATTGCGACAGATGTAATAGTTTGCACAAAACTTTCCACATGTTTGCAGTGTAACTGAGTGCTTTGTTGCAAACCCTATGTGAGATATGAGATATTTTTCTCAAGCCCCATGGATTCATGGACATTTTCTCCCACTTCAGACACTGAAACCTGGAACTCTTTCAAAGTCACTGTTGGCCTCATGTTTCCTACTTGCTTGGCTGCTCAGTTTGGAGGGACAGTCTGATCTAGGCTGTGTCTGACTGCCTTTCACGTCTTAATGATTGACTTCATCATTCATAAAGAAATATTAAGTGTTTTTGAAATGTTTACGTCCCCTTTTCCTGAACTGTGCCTTTATACAACTTTCTCCCTGAGTTGTTTTAAAATCTTCTTAGTTTTCATGGTTGAGTCTTTGCTTGAAATTCATGAACTGACCAAGAGACCTTACAGAAGTAGGTGTATTTACTAGTAATTATTTTTACTAGTATTATAGCCACACAATTAATTATGTGGCTCGTTCAGGTAATTTTTTGAACCTAAATTAATTTAGATTATCAGTAATTGGATTGCATACATTAATTTGGTCAATGAAAAAGTAATGCAATAATTATTTATATATATCTTTCTTTTATATTTAACATTTGTTGTTTTTTTGCTTTCAGTGTGGGAGTAATATATTGTGTATATAACAAATATGTATTGCTACTTCAAAGTGTCATGACTTCATGTTTTAAAAAGCAACATTGTGAAAATGGTGGAAGTTGTGAATACTTTTGCAAGTCACTGAATCGATGGGGACCTTTTTTTCCAACCCTGAAGTGCAGCTCCTTTATGCTAGCACTTTATGCAAACCCACTGCACAGTAAATAAAAAACATAAGGGGAATTCAACAGAGGGAAGTTTACTTAGGCCATATGCAAGACCATGTTGGAATTTATCCATGACACAGGATAAATAGGATAAAGATCCCACTCTTACAAACTGAATCATGGGATCTTTAATGAATATAAACGAAGGAGTTCAAGTAGGTAGCTGCATCAGCATGCGTAGGCTGCAAAGGAACATGTAAAGGTTTATTCCATCCTGAAGAGAGAAGAAAAGAAACACAACATTTCAGCAGTGGAACCTTCTTCTTTTCAGCATATATGTAAGGACCTTGGTATAATGATAGAAAATACTACATTTCCTACAGAACCGTATCACCATCACTATCCAGATGTAAGACTGCCACCTCCTGGTAAACTCTGCTTACAGCAGCGTCCTAGTTTTCCTTGGTTGACTCCCAACCCAATACTAACCAGGCTCAGCCTTGATTAACTGCTAAGGTGAGAAGGTGGTAACACAGTGTGACAGACTATACCCTGCCGGGGCTGTCCCGAGAGTGCAAACATACTTACGATGACTCATGATGACAATGAGAAGTTAAATCCAGGAAGCTTTATGTTAAGCCTTTTCAGCCCATTAAAAGACTCCAAGACAGCTATTGCCATTCACACCTTTTTTTTTACCAAACCATTTGACTAATTTAATTAATTTGAAACTTAATTTAAAAATGTATATCCCTACACCCTTAACTAATTAGTAATGAAAAAAATCAATCTCCGCTGTGACTATTTACAAGCAATACAGAGGCTGTGTAGCATCCCCGAGTGGCACATTATCTTCAATTACAGCCTTTTCTATAGCTGGCCTGCCCCATACAGTAAAGTATGGTAAAGTGCATACATAAAATAAAGTGATATTAATATCACTTTCTTTGGTAACATATTTGTTTAAAAAACAGATGTGTTTCCAAACAAAATATATACTATCATTTGAAACTAAACATCCAGACAATCTTGAGGATTCTCAACAATCTTAAATGATTCATGGTGTGTGTTACATGAATTGGTATAAACTATATTAAACACTGTAGGTAGGGATCGAGGTTGGTTTAGTGGATACCCCTGCACCATTTGATTCCAGACTGGGGTTCCCTCCTCTGTGGAGTCTGCATGTTCTTCTTGCATCCATGTAGGCTTCCTCTCAAGCCATGCTGGTTAGGTTTAACTGGTATCTCTTTATTTTCCCTGTGTGTGTGCCCTGAAATGGGTAGGCGTAGTCCTGTCTTGTGCACTAAACGTCCGTGAGTCTCAGGGTTGCTGTAAACTTGCCATGATCTGCCAAATAAAAACACAACAAAATATCGGGCTGCATTATTTCAAAATGTTCAGTCCATTCACAGTGTGAATATCTGGAACCCAGCCAGAATAACTGGTTTTGAGATCACCTTTACTTGTTTTCTACATGTGAATAATGAAAAAAAAAACTAGTGACACAGTTCACAGAAACAGGAACAGTCAAAGTTAGAAAATCTTGATTTGTTTTATGTAAATAATCTGTACACCCTAATAAATTATCATAGTATTACAAAATGTCTGAGGCTGAAGGGCTATGGAACATAACAGTAAAGTGAGCTTTAATTGGGAACATGTGTGGAAGAGGAATGTCAATAAAAACATTAGAAAAGAGTCAAATACCATCTATTTGGATTTTAAAGTTAATTTTTTGGGTGTATGTTTTTAGATATTCTCATTTTTTTATTGTTTTTGTTTCTATTAGATAGCTAGATTTCTAGGGGCAGCTAGAAGTCACAAATCAGACATTTCCACCCTGTGAGCTGTGAAAGCTCTTCAAAACACCTAAACTAGTGAGAGATGTGGAATGTGGTTTTCCTATTACAGTGACCAATACTGTCCGAGAAAGACCTTTTCACAGAGCAAAAGAATAATGTAAAAGCTTATGTATCCAAGTAACAAACTCAATCCATTTTCTAATGGCTTTATCAGGTACAGGGTAACTGGGGAGCCAGAGCCTATCTCGGCAAGCCGCTGGCGCAAGGTGGGATACACCCTGGATATGTCCCCCCACAGCATAGATGAACATAAATACACCTGCATCAGGGACAATTTGAAAATATTTCTTTGGATTGAAAGAAGAAACCAGAGCACCCACACAAATGTGGAGAGAACATACAATCTCCATGCAGATAGCACCCCAGAAATTGAACCCAGGGCCCCAGTGCTGTAAGACAACCAGGCCACCCACAGGAACAGAAGCATCCTTGACAAAATCTGAAAATCTCAGTGCTGTGCAAGGAATCTTACAAATGCACACTCTCCAAAACTGAACTTCTGAATTTTTTGTAGTTTAAATTTACACATGGGTGTTTCAAATAAAGTAAGAATACATCCTAGGTTTAAAAATAAGTTGTAAGTCAGCACACGAACTCTCTGTTGTGTCTCTCTTGGTAACACCAAGTTTTGGTTTAAAGATGATTGGTCTCATTCAATCGTGTTCAATTCCTAAAATGAATGAGTAGCAAGTTATATTTTAGTGCAAGGGGCAAAGTTGCTTTTCCAATGTCAAACCATACTCGCTGAGTAGCACTACTAACTTCTTTCAAAAATAAATATTATCTATGTTATCTTGTTATCTATTAAGAAAATACATTTTCTGAATAATTGGTGGTTTCATTGCAAATATCACAAAAAGCTACACTTAGATGGGGGACATGTGCTTCATGATATTTCTCTGATTTTATCGTTTAGTATGGTTATGTGTTCTGCAGAGCTCTAATGTCTTCCCCGTTAATATCCTTCAATATACAGTAAGTTACCTTATGTAATAGAAAATGAAATAAAATATATAATGTATTTTTAACCGCAATTACTGAAAACAAATTCAGAGCTACGACTGCCGTATTCCTTTGTCTCATTTTCTGTTGCCTAGAAACAGTTGCAGTTTTTCCCTTCTCTCGTCTACATCCTCCATGCAACTCCCGGAACTTCCGGCGAGAAATGAAACGGAAGTAGGTACGTGGCTGCTCCAGCTGACACTCAGCATGATGGCGATGGAGGTGCAAAGCTCCGAGCCTAGCGGTGGCAGCTCCAGCAGGCTAGAAGTTTCTATTGACGGGCTGACTCTTAGCCCCGATCCGGAGGGGGAACAGGAACAAAATGAGAGACTGGGGCCCCAGCGACAGGAACAGAGCAAAGATGGGAAGAGTCCATCTGAGGAAGAAGATGGGCAAGAGGGCGATACTGCCAATTCCATGGAAAGGAAGTGGGGTTTTCCTCTCCAGGAGCTCTATGGCCTGGCTCTGAAATTCTTTAAAGGTACTTATTCTGCGCCAGCTAAAATCGTAAATGCGCGAAAATCGTTATTTTTTTACGTGACGCACGCAACGCAAAAATAATATTATGAACACTATTGTATTGTTCCGCCACAGAAACGGAATACGTTTTAGCTGCGTAGATAAACTACCTGTCTACGAACAGCAAGTAGACACTTGTATCACCCGCAAAACTTCGAAATTTACGATTGCATTCAAGATGGAAACACAAAAAGAGTTAACGATAGGTACCGTATTATTTATACATGTTTTAGGCGTTTATACGACCTACGGGGATGTATATAAAATAGTATGTTATCCATAACTGTTTACTTATATTAGCTGGACACGCGATATCTTACACAGTGAACCTTTGTGTACAATTAAGTACAACATGCATTATGGGCAGCCTCGATACGAAATGCTGGAAGAGCAAGCGTGTCGGAAAGAATCAAGAAACACGTCTCATCTTCCGTAGTGGGCGGTGTTGGAGCGCAGCTCTGGCTATAACAGTTGTAGATCGCAAGATAGATACGAGCGGTAGGTGTTGGTCCTAGGGGTGTGGGCTGAATAGGTGAGTACAGATGGGTACTGTGGGGGTGAGGGATGGTACGAGCTAGGAGGGTGACCAGGCACTGCTTGACAGGCAAGAAAACCAATCTAGCGGCAAATAAAAGGTTAGAGTCGATGGGAGGCTCGGAGGGGGCAGAACATTCACATACGTATACAAGAGCCGTGGGCATTGCGCTTTTTTCAACTCCATCGTGGGTATGATGAGTGCCAGTTGAGGATTCTAATAGTTTTATCTTGTGCAAGGACAAAACTAGTCAGCCCTACTTTAAATTTGGAGTAGACACCGTTTTTGTCAAAACATTTGTACAAAAGAGCACTTAAACCGATTGTGTTTGAAGACAGTGTGGCTGTGAGTGGTGATTCCCACACACATTTACTGTAGAGGTTAAGTGATGACTTTGTGCCTGCATTTTCCATTTGCTTCTTGGCAAATATTATATATCATGTAACAATATTTTGAACTTTATTTTCGTTCACATTTAACACGATCTGATACTCTATAGGCTGCCTCGTCTTTGGTCGGCAGCATTTTTGCAGGACGGCAGTACTGTCCTTCAGCAGTAGTTCTAATGTATTAACATTGCTATTATTTTTATTTTTTAAATATTTTATTTTTTGAAAAGCTGAGTTCATGACTTGGGTCACGACCCTGTATCCTTATGAAGTCTGCATTTACAAACCAAGATAAATGGTTTTAACACATAGTTAAACCTGTCAAAATATCAGATGAATGAATCTGCTGTCTTTTATAAAGACTTTTAAAACACTATTTAAACCGTCCAGGTGTGCTGACTAAAGCCTTAACAGTATATGTCTTAAGGAACAGTAAAGATGTACAGCAGACCTTTAAACAGTTTAAGATTTCATGGTCCAAATGGTTTTATAAAGCAAAATATTAAAGATTTTTGCTTATTGCTTCATCAGTACCATTTGCACAAAAGCCTGCATCTTGTAAAATCTGAAGTGGATTGCACTGCTTTGAAGACAGAGCCTTCTTATTGTTATAGTAGGGAATTGTTTCTTTTATTAAATTAATTGTTTCTCTTTTGCTATTAAAGGGAGATAGTACGTCTGTTTGCGCTGCAGTTAGTTTCATGCTGAAGTACATGATTATAGTTAACACCAGGTGCAGGATAAGTCAAGCCTGATGTTTTGTTTTGAATAAATTATCATAGAAGGAAGTCTAAAAATATACAGTATTTTGCATCCTTACTAGTAAAGCCTAAAATTGGCAAATGATTGAGCAGCAGAAGTGTTGTCGTTGGGTAAGGGGTTTTGTTGGCATGGATTAGGATTTGAAAGTTGGTTAGGATACCGTGTCTTTCTTCAGTCTCTTCCTTTCTAAATATTATAACCAAGGGTCGTTTTCTGCAGTTTGCCAAAGTAGGTTGGAGGGGATATTAAAGTCAGTCAAATATGCTCCTGTAGAGTGTATCAGCAGGAAATTCTTATAATTGAATGAGAAATATACTAATATTACATTATAATTATTATTATACTTTGATATTTACTAAAATTAGCTGATGGCCAAGCATTTTATACTTTGCTATTTGGATATGAGTTGGCCTGCGGCTTTACTCTGTATTTCTCTAACTCTGTCGGAGCTATCTCAGTTGTAGCTGTTTACATTCACAGTGTCTCCAAGTGCCAGTTTCTTGTTTTTGGATCGGTTGTTTATTTTTCTGGCAGTCCTTGCTGGAGTGAGTTTTTCTTGGGTTTGTTCTCGGTCTCTTTTCCAAATGCTGAAAGAATGACACATTTATATTGAGAAAGCAAGATCACTCTGCATGTGAGCGTTTATAAAAAGTATTGATTTTGTATATAAATTCTGTGTATTTTGCTTCATTTTGATTGTGATTTTTCATAACTAACGATGATACCCTGTAGTAACTTTTGTAAAACCACTAAATCTCTTCTGCAATATGAAGGTTGGGTGACACAGTGCCGCAGTGGTCAGGTCAGTGTTGCTGCCTCATAGCTCTAGGGCCATGGGTTCAATTCTATCAGTTCAATTCGGTCTGTGTGGAGCTTGTATGTTCTCCCCTTGTTCACATGGGTTTCCTACAGCTGCTCCAGTTTCTTCCCACAGTTCAAAAAGTATACTGGTAGGTTAATTGGCGTCTTGGAAAACTGACCCTAAATTGAATGTGTGTGCCAGGGACAGAAACAGAAGCTTTGTGAATCTATTGCAGTTTTATTTGATGCGTAGTATACAGAAGTGTGAGGCTTCAACATCTTTTTTTCACTAGAACAGGTCTTCTTTGTACCACTCAACTTGGTTGAGTGACATATGGTACCTTTGAATGAAATAACATAGGTTTCAGAAGTGATCTTCTCATTACAAATGTTGTACAAGTGTCATAGATGTGCAACACAAAGTTGTATTAGTTTCCCAGTGGGTTGCATGTACTGTATAATTAAAGGCAGATTTCTCAATCACCCCCAGTAGGCATCTTGACTTTTGGAAATTATATATGTAAAGAGATGGGTAAGTAAATGGCATTACACAATATCACTTGGTTAAAAACAAATATTTGATGGTCTTCTTAAGGAAGTAGTTTAATTGAGGGTTAAGTGAGTCTACGTTAAGCAAGTAGAAGGAAATCCTGTTGCAAATTCATCATGCAGTCTGAGAGAATCAAGATGGAGAACCATGCACTTGAATGCATTATCCACCACCTGGAAGGATAACTCTGTAGTGTGAACTCAGAAATATAGCTTTGAGTGATATGTAGTTTTAACAGAGGTTGAAAAGGGCCGGGCCTTGACTAATAATCATCACTGGAAATTAAACAGATATATTTTTTTAGATCATGGAGAATCCTTATAATCGTTGCATTTTTAGCCCATTTATCCTCTATAGCAGTTCCATTTTAAGAGTTGAAGGTTACAGGATGATTCATATTTCAGCATTCTCATTACTCCTTCTGTACTTGTGTGTATTCACCAATGTGGAAGACCATCTACTGGTATTCAAAGAATTTGTTTTATTGTGTTTGTATGTAATAGCCTATAAAAGCACAAATAAATTCGATATGGTTAGCCATTTGGAGACTTTTAAGCTCTTACAGTGATATCAGCAAACAAGCTTGCTGCAGTGTAAAACTTAAGAAAGGTTCCAAATAAGAGAAGGTCTTTTGACCCTTGTAGATACTTAGAAGCTTATTGATCCAAGAATCTCATCCGGCTGTTTCTTGAAGAATATCTGGGTATCAGTTTCGACAGCATGGCTGGGTGGCTTGTTCCTTACATGTTTCGGTAGCATGTGTGTTAGGATGAAGATACCTTTCAATGAAATCAGCACTCAGTACTAAGCAGATTTATCGCACATGCATGTGAAAAAGGCATATAGCTATTCCACATTTTTTTGAGAGCATTTGGATTTTTGTACACAGTACCCCTTTTTTCTGTTATCCTAAAAATAAGGTAAACCGGCCTCTGGGGTAAATTCCCCTTAGTGTGTGTATGTGTGTTTGTGTCTGCATATACCCTGGGTTGGACTGGCTTCCTCTCCAGGGTGTATCCTGCCTTGCTTCTGTATTGCAGGCCTGTATTGGATAAAGCAGTTAGGAAACAGATGGAAAGGGACAAATTGCCTTCTTTCAAGGGTGTTAAACACAAGAATAGTAGAGTCTTCTTGCTCCTGCAGATCGGCTTTTATTAAGCTTGTAAATTGGTTAGCTATTAACTGACTGTTAAAAACTAACTTTTATTGATCTAATTCAGCCATTAAATGCATAAGGCAGCAAATCTTCAAATCCCAGCTGCATTACCGTGCTTAAATACAACTTCACTGTAACACTAATTCTGCTTATCATACATTTTCACTGGATTTAAAGGGAGGTGATTGAAGTGAACTTCCACGATCAAGTGGATTAAAAGGACCACAGGCTCAATAGTCCCAATGTAGGACTGAGGGCAGTGTTACTTTAGCCGAGCTAAAATAAAGGCTGGACTGGAGAAGTCTTAGGTACTCCCATGATGCAGTGGTGTTCCAGAGCTTATGTGTTTTTGACACACCTGGACACTCTTAACACTGTATGCAGCTTTCTGTCTGCTGGGTAAGAACAGAAATAGATTAAAAAAGAATGCTTTTGAGTACATTGTACATTATTTGGCCACCTTAGGCCTGAATGTGCTCATGTGGAGAATGTAACTGGTTTCAACATTATAGTATGTTGAGACCATAGTATCATAGTATGCCAGTGAAAAATCTGAATACATACAACTGCTATAGAGTTTTGCTTAGTGTATTTGAAGATGCTTTAATGCTATGTGTTCAAATTTTACATCTTAAAATGTTTTTGGTAAAGAAGATGTAATCAGGCAAAGATTCCCAGCTATTTGTGCAGGTCTCAGTTTACGCATAAATGTGAGATTGTTGACAATGAAAGAAGTGGTATCTGTGCTAAAAAAAATCCAGGTTAGATGCTGGCTTGTCACAAATCTCACTGGGCAGAGCAAATTTCTTGTAACTCCCTTGAGAAGCAGGGATCACACCAATAAAGATATGAGAGCAGTAAAAACAATAGAAAATCTTCCCATTTAATGATATTGAACTATCAAGTATGGATTAATACCATGAACACTAAGTTAGCCTAAATTGTTTTGTTTTCTAAACCATGTTCTATTCCAACATTTGTAGAATGAACCCATGTTGTCAACTTTTGTTTACCTGATACATGTTTCTGAAGTGATTGTTTTTTGTAGTCATTGTTTTGGTCAGAGAAATTTGAGTTTGCTTTAACAGTTGGTTCAAATTTGTCTACACTTCGACAACTATTAAATATGTCAGTATAAGTAGAAAGAGAGTACTTGCATGAGTCTGCAGTTTTGGTTGAAAGTGCTTCACCCCATATTAGTGCCATTTGTTTGATTCTAAGTGAAACATAACTGCTTGAAACTACAGAATTTAGCTGTAGAAGATTTGATTGATTCAAAAACCTGTGTAATCAATACAGAAAACACCCTGAATCTCTTTGTATGTTTCATATCTGTGTGAAACATTTTTTTGTTGTAGGATCTTTGAATATCAGCTTTATTTGGTTTAGAGCATTAAAGTGCATTCAGATTTTTCTCGGTCTAAAATCTTCAAACATAAATTACCCAATTCTGTGCTTTCATGTACATTTTAACAAAATGAAGAAAGTTAGGACTTAGGCAGATGTGGCTTTCATTTAGGTGTCTAATTGCTCCAGATGGATATTTTTAAATAGCAATATAAAGCAGTACCCTACTATTTTATCTTGTTTGTATTCAGAGTAGTTTACCAGAATTGTGACACAACTGCTGTTGAGGTAATGTGATTAAAATCATGATTTTTCATTCTCACGTGTTAATGTGCAGATCAAACTGGCTGTCATTGTTTCAGGGCAAATATTAGTTTGAAGGCAAATATTAGCCAGATACATCGCTTTTTTTAAATTCACATGGGCTGATATTGATTGAATATGGCTGTTATTGATTTGAATAAAAAAGACTTTTAACTGCATAATGTGTTCTCGCGGCTTTGCTGAATTATTTGGTAGCTACAGCTATTATCAGTTTTTAGAATTTCACTTTCATTAAGTGATGATGTCTGCTTTACTGCCTTGCAAAAGTATGCACCCCATTTCCAGTGACATCCCATTGTGTAGAATTGCAAATTGTTTATATTTTGTATGAAAACTATAATCAATCTGAACAATTTTCTGGGCAAAATATCAAAAGTCGGCAAAAACTGCAATGAAAGAAATGCATATATTTAAAATAAATGTGTTTTCATGATGTGTAATTCAAGAAAACGGGGTGTCATTGGAAGGGGATGTATGCTTTGAAAGGCACTGTACTTTGAAAGAGGGGAGATGACACAGTGATTATAGTTATGCGACCCTAATTGTGCCCGTGTGTTTTCTTCCCCATCTTCTCCCCTATATATACACAGCAAATTCACCTTCATTTTACAAGGTATGTTGTTTTAACAGATGTTTTAATTTGCAGTAATTGCTTTTGCTGAGCCCATGTTAGCCACTGAAGGAAGAGTGACAAAGATTTTGTTGCAATGTTTTTGTCAGTTTGTTTTGAAGGTACTGCTTTGCACAACGTGCTTGACATTGCCTAGAGAGTGTACAGCACTGTGTAGGCCCACATTTCACTCATATTATATATAAAGAGTACTTTGAATACCCTGAATGGATCTTTAACACAGCATGTAAGTTACTGTAACACAGCATGTAAGCTGATCTGCCAAAAGAACAGTAGATTTTTTTTGCTCTATGTTCCACACCCTCTGCTTTGTTACAAGGTTTATTGCAACAAAAAAGATTAAGATGAAATGAATTCTGAAAGTTTTCTTTTGCCATTCTTTTCAAAGCGTTCAGATTAAAGTTATTATGCTCATAGTTAGAAAACTTGGGGAAAACTCTTGTCCATTGTTTAAAAACTTAGGAAGAAGAGAAAGTTTCAAAGGTCAGAAATTTATTAAAAACCATTTTAGTTTTTTTAGCAGTTAAAGATAAGATAAAATTGATATTAACAGCAGCAGTGTTAGTCTAATGCCACATGCCTTTAAGGTTTTTGTAAATATCTTTTTTATTTTTGAGTTTCTTTTGAAGGTGTGAGCACTGATAGTTACAACAGAAAAAAACTTGTTTTGGTCTTAGCAGTTAATTCCTCTGATATTCGTTCACATATTTTCTCAGTGGTAGAAATGTGGTTTGAACCGAACAACTCCTGCTAACAGGCTTTTGACCTAAATCACTGGATTATTTAGTTTTGCAATTAATCTTTGTGCCACCTCACAAGATGTGACCTCTTGAGCCATGCACTTTGGTGGGGTTACCCAGTCTGCTTTTAGAATGGGAAAGGCTGCACCTCAGTGAATCCAAAGCAATATGGACTAGAACTCGCTCTCCTCAGGCAGTCCTGGGGGTGTAGCCATAAGCCAATTTAACAGCTGGCAGTTCTGTTTTCTGCATTCTGTTGTATGCCCATCCAGTTTGGAATGACAACTGCTTACTTGGATTATGGCTACAACCCCAAACTGCGTAGGGAGATTGAGTATCAGCACGCCCACCTGTCAGAGCCTTTTGTTATTTACAAATAATAGTGATTCCTAACGTCAGTATTGCACTTTCTGAATCCCAAAGGATCCCGAAGTGATTTTCATCTAGGAAGAATTATAGAGATTTCTAGAAAATTACTAGATTACAATTGCTAGCTGGTTTAGTAATTGAGGGCTAACTTCCAAGGATCTTCTTCAGCTGGTTTTTGAAAGCAGTTGGGTTTAACAACGTGGCTGGGTAGCTCCAGTGCTTCTTTGTGTAAACAGGTACTTCCTGTTGCTGGTTTTAAAAAAGTCAAGTTCCTTCAGCCTGTCAGGGCAGGACATCAGGAATTACCTGTTTGCTCTTTGTACTGATTCCAGGGCAGCAGTACAAATTTGGCCACCACATTACAGAAAAGATGCACAATATTCCAAGTGTGATCTTACTAGGGCATTGTGCAATTTAAACCTGCATCTTTTAATTTAAGTTGTATTTTATATCTATACATGCCAACATTTTTTGCCTTTGTAATTGCTTGCTCACATTATCTGAAAGTATATTGTAAATGTGTCAACAGAAGGCATCTAGGTCGATTTTTAGAGGCAGCAACGTGTTTTAAACATTCCCTTTTCCTAAATTTAGACCAGTAGTTTGTTTTTGTTATTTTTATGTAATATTCTGCGGTTTAACTTGGAGATACAAAGGGTTGAACTTAGAACATCCTACAGGCAAAGCATGTGCTCTGACATTCAGTTATATCTCCGATTGTCCCGTCTGTCATCACACCTGGGTGATGTGCAGCAGCCATGCGGAGAAGTGAGAAATTGCTTGCCATTTGAATGAAAGAAGAACCTTAGCCAGGCTGCAAGCCCTGAGTGTTATTTAGCACAGCAGAATTATCACCACTACTCTCATGAACACTTCCATGGTAATATGCTCCAAGCAGCACCATGCTTTTCAGGAGAGTTGTGCACATCTGTCAATGCTGGCTCTCTGGGAGCTCATAGGCTCACACCATGTTCCCGGAGCTGCTGTAGCACAAATAGCAAAGGAAAATCGAAACACCCCACCTTGGGAGCACACATACCATTGTGGGAATCCTGGTTACAGACTTGACCCACTCTTCAGCCAGTGACGCCTGGAGCAGCTTTGTAAGTTGAACCCTGTACCGGCCTCAGTTTGAGGTAGAAGATGGATCCTTTGCATGAAATGCTATTTTTTGTCATGCTTGCCCAGTGTTAATAAATATCCTTGTTGTTTGTACAGACAAAGATGGCAAAGCCTTCCACCCAACATATGAAGAGAAACTACGCCTTGTTGCTCTCCATAAACAGGTTTTACTTGGCCCGTATAATCCAGATGCCTGTCCAGAGGTTGGATTTTTTGATGTCCTTGGAAATGACAGAAGGTACAGCTTAATTAGTGTTAAAAACACCAATACCTGGTGAACAGAAACCGCTTTGATTGGTGCTGTGAATTCTAGAACATTATTGAAAATAACGATTTTCCATTTGTGTGCAATAACACATACCAGACTGTCTACAAAGTGGGTACCAGGGCTTTCTGTATTTTGGTTTAGGCGCTCAGTGAGCACTCTGTGCACCTAATTAAATAAAATGGTGTATTACAGCCTAATAAGAGTTAGTCTTATTGCAATCGGAGCACTTTCAATTCATTCATAACACCCACAGTCGACAAAGGACTCTTATTTGGGTTGCAGACCTTAACCCATGTTAAGAAAATATCCTTCATATGTGAATCACAAAATACAGGGCTTCTACCGAAGTGTCTAGCATTTAATAATAATTTAATAACATATTCACTGTGACACTGCTAATGTCCCAAAAGCATGTTACAGAATCCAATACTTAATGTTAAACAATGAAAAGTACTATCTACTTCAGGGATTTGCAACATAGTGTTTTTCCTACCTTGTCTCAAACTGTAGCAGTAAAAGCCAGTTATGCCAAATGGCCAGGCCATTTTGACCTAAGCAGAAAAATTCAAGAGGTTTAACCCCCTTCTCTTGGTTGTGGTTTGTTTTTGCAGGAAGGAGTGGGCAGCATTAGGGAACATGTCAAAAGAAGATGCTATGGTGGAATTTGTAAAGTTGCTGAACAAATGTTGTAATTTATTTGCACCCTACGTTACATCTCACAAGATAGAGAAGGAAGAGCAGGAAAGGAAAAGGTGAGATGGCTCGTTTGTTTTTCTTAGTTCATATACTGAAGACTTTGTAGCCCAAGAACCTAGTAGTCCAACTGGCTCTTCCTTCCAACAGTGGATCCATACAACTTTGTACTAGCTTCAGACATCTTCATACTAACTGGGATCACCCTTGATTTTCATTAGATATCTAGTATTGAGTTAAGATCTTGTAATAGAACAGATTGGTAGGAGATGGGGTGAATTTCAGCAAATTCCTAAATGAAGTTGCAAACTCCATTTATACATGTCTAACCCGTAGTAGATAACAGCATTCATTTACTACCGCCTGACTCCTACTAGTCATTATGAATGTTCATGAACAAAATCCGGCTTAGGTGGAAAACATTCATTATATTCAAAAGTCAATATTTTCAGCACTTAAGATTTCTTTTTCAGCCACGACATTACGTCGTTGTGAAGTATTACGAGATAAGAGGGGGGCATATCAGGGTTTAAGAAGACGTTTTCTCTCAGAGTTGTGTGTTCTGTGTTCTGGAATTGTCCCAGTGTCCCCCCCAGTAAAAATCCCGTTTCTTATCACGGTTGGTCTCTCGAGCCCGGCTGTTGTGTTGCTGGCGATTGCTGTCTGACCAGCTGTGCTCTCTACAGGAGGGAGGAGGAGCAGCGGCGGCGGCTGGAGGAGGAGGAGAGGGAGCGGCGGCGCCAGGAGGAGGAGAGGCGCCGCAGGGAGGAGGAGGAGAGAGTGCGCAGGGAGGAGGAGGAGCGCCGGCAGATCGAAGAAGAGAGGCTGCGCATGGAACAGCAGAAGTCAGTGCTCTCTCACTACAGCCACTTCAGGGCTTTTCTGTCAAACTGGCTATGTACAAATGTGTATTCAGTGTACATCACCCCTTCTCAGTTTAGGTAAACTGTTGATAAGGTGCTAATTTTGTTCTTTTTGTTTTGATGTGTTCGGAGTTCTCCCTTTTTCACTGTTTTAACCCTATAGGTCTGTTAAACCCTATTATATGAGTTACCTGTTGACATGAAAGATCTCAGATTGAGAAAAAACTTTAATCTTTCAGGGAGTTAAGGAAAAAAATTGAATAATGGAATTACTTTTAGAAGCCTACAATTATTGTGTTGCCATGCATCAACTGAGTCTAGTGTGTTGTGTGTCTGTAGTTTGTCTAGTGCTGGCTGACACATTTGTCCGTGTGGTTGCAGGCAGCAGATCATGGCAGCTCTGAATGCTCAGACAGCAGTTCAGTTCCAGCAGTATGCTGCCCAGCAGTACCCAGGCAACCTGGAGCAGCAGCAGATCCTCATTCGCCAACTACAGGAGCAGCACTACCAGCAGTACATGCAGCAGTTGTACCAGGTGCAGCTGGCACAGCAGCAGGTAGAGTATGGGCCTGCAGCCTGCCAGGAGGTGGAATTCAATATGTGAATTTTCCTCTCTCCCGGTACAATCCTGGGCCCAGTTGTAATGCTTTGTGATCAGCACTGAGGTGATGACAGTTTGAGTAAAAATCCTGATGATCACAGACCCCTAGTTAGCCTTTACAGTATCTGTTGTACTTCATTTGCAATATTTTCGTTTTTTGGTGTGACCAAGGACAGGGCACTGAGAACTCGAGTGATCATGGTTTATCCACGAAGTCATGAAAGGGATGAAACAAGGTGGAAGGTAGCAGCAGAATATTGACAGGATCAGTGCTTTTCTTAGGTTAAGAAAAGCACTATGCACTTATGAGATCAGCGTTAAAAAATGTTAGGCGATATTAAGTGGTTTTGCATTTTTACAGGTAAATACTAGGGTCACTTGGTCATCTTGTAATTGTACCCACAGAAGATCTTTGTGGAAACATGACGAGATAATCTCATTGTGTATAATAATTTAAATGTGTGTCAGGTGTGTTCATACTACAAAAGGGCTTTTGTGGAAGTTGTAGCAAGGAAAGGTGTTACTGAACCAAAATATTTAACATTAAGCAGTAGTTTGAAACTAAATAAATAATTTAGCAAAGATAAGTGTTGAAATAACCTTATGGTCTTAGGAATGAAAATGTTTCTTTTTATTGCAGAGAACAACACTAGTTTCCTTGCTTCATTTCTAGGAAGATGGTTGGATATAGGTGTAAACAAACATCTAGGAAATGGATCACCTTCTGTGTCATCATTAGCTTTACATTAATTTAAGAAAATAGTCATAGCCATAAAAAAAGTCCTTTTATTTTAAGTAATTCTTAAGACTGTTCACAATGTGATCACAAAGGTAACTTTTTTATGTTTCAAACTACAATAAGAAAGAAGCAACATCCTAACGATTACAAACATAATCAACTTGATTTACTTTGCGTCTATGTTTTCATTAGGTAAAACCTATCATCAGATGTCTCTGCAAAACAAATGCTCAATACATTCTGGAAAAGTGTCACTATGTGCAGCAGTTTGTGTTGTGGTCCGAGTAGTGTTACTATTGAGGTTGTATAATGGCCTGTTTCAACCCTCATTAATCTTGCAAATGGTGAACAGGCACACTCCGAGCTCATCTGTGTCTTGGTTTACCTGTGTGCTAATGTATGATTCTTACTGGATCTTGCTGTTGTCACAGTTGCTCTCCTATTTTGCAGGCGGCTCTGCAGAAGCAGCAGGAGGCGGCGATAGTGTCGTCCACGATGGCGGCGAAGGTCAGTGCTGCCTCCCCTGGTGAGAGCCCTGCACTCAACGGACAGCCCAACGCTCATACAGACAGTCTGGACAAGGAGCCGGAGCTGGAGCCTGCAGAAGAGCTCACCGAAAATGGACCAAAAGGCATGGTCAACGGCTGAAGACCGAAAAAACATCATCCGTAGCATTTCCATTCGTAAAAATGACATCAAAGCATGTGTACTTAATTGGGGTGTTCAATGTCTGAACAAGCTAAAAAGGTTTTTAATTTATAAAATGATGATGATAAGATATAATTTAGTGATTTTTGTAACATTTCCATTTCTGTTCTAGCCCGTGCACATTTTTATATTTTCTAGTTTCTCCCAAGTCAACACAGTTGCCCCTTGACAACATTTTGATAGGATCCTAAGTATTCACTTTTCTTGGCAAAAAAGGCATATCGCAAAGCCTTTTGGCAGATCCCATCACTAACTCTCTCATATCTGTTGCCACCATCTCACTGCATGGGGTGTTCTTGGCTTTTTAATCATTTTGTGTAATATGTAGACGGATGTAGTACAAATACATAATTCCCTTTCCTCCATCTTTCCTCAGATACTACACCTGTGATCGCTGCACCCTCCATGTGGACACGGCCACAGATCAAGGATTTCAAAGAGAAGATCAGGCAGGACGCTGACTCTGTCATCACAGTGGGCCGTGGGGAGGTGGTGACCGTGCGTGTGCCGACTCACGAGGAGGGTTCCTATCTCTTCTGGGAGTTTGCCACTGATCACTACGATATTGGCTTTGGAGTGTACTTTGAATGGACAGATTCTCCAAACACTGCTGTCAGCGTCCACGTCAGCGAGTCCAGTGAAGACGAAGAGGATGAAGAAGGTGAGCAGGCTAAGTGCCAATTCAGTGACAGCTAGCCACATTTAGTTGTTACTGGTTCCACTTATAGGGCTGTAGATTAGCCTTCATATGCTAATTCCTTATTTTTCAAATGTTTGTTTAACATTTTTTTTCTAGTGAACACCTTTCAGGGAATGCACCATGTTCATGAGTTGGAGTCTTGCTAATATTTTGTGTCTTTTGTTTGGTTTATTTTATTCTAAAGCTTTTTTTTTCTGATTAAGAAATAATATAAAGTTTCTGAAGCCTTGAGAGGGCACATTCAGCTTACCCTCTAGTGATACAGTTCTCGTGATGGTACATATAGTATCTGTGGAAAAATAGCGATTAACTTGACTTCGCTGTTCAGCTAGTTTGTTTTGGCTGTATGTATCAAAACAAGAATTCTAGGGCCATGTAATTCTTTGTCATTGTTGTGGGTGCATTTATCAGTCTGACCCCTTTGCTGTTTAATGCTTAGAAAAACATACTAACAAAAGTCAAAATCAATTTGTGTGTGCACATTGTAGTATCCTCTCCAGTTTGAGATGTATTCATTCCAATTTCCTGATTTCACTCTGAGCTTACCACAGAGAAGCCTCACCATCACAAAATCACTTTGGGATTAACATTAATTTACAGGCATATGGATGAAAAAAACATCCACACAAAGATTGCATTGTGTAATATCCCTAGTCTTTTCAGGGTTTTGTAGTTAATTAGGAGTCCGATTTCTCAGCGTCTGTCAGTGTCAGGCCGACTGGAATAAAGTCTCTGCTTTTTCCTCTACTTTAAGCAGCACAGTGCATAAAATAATTGATGTGAAATTGCTTACACTTCTTTGGTTGACCTTTTTTTCAGCAGAAACCCAGAGTGAAGAAGAAAAAGCCAAAAAGAACAACAGTAAGCCTCAGGTGGATGAGATTGTGCCGGTCTACAGGAGAGACTGCCATGAAGAGGTCTATGCAGGCAGTCACCAGTACCCAGGGAGAGGAGTGTACCTTCTCAAATTTGACAATTCGTACTCATTATGGAGATCAAAAACCGTCTACTACAGAGTTTACTACACTAGATAAAATCCTTTGCCGGAAACTGGGGGTGTGCAGGTTGGAACGTGGAGTGGCTTTGTTTTCTCTTGGGGAATTGTAAAATCTACCTTGGCGTGGAAGCTGGGTGCAGATCATACAGATCTGTACCGTTCTCATCAATTTTTGTTTTGGAGGGCAAATATGTGCCACTTTTAAAGTCTTGGTTGAAGTATGAAGTATTATTGGTTCCTATTCAGCAAAACACTGCCTTGCCATTGACCTAAGTATTTCAGGGGTCAGGGCAATGGGCCTATTACATAAGTTCCCACTTTGCTCCAATATATTGCCTTACTGTTCTTCACAGAATGTTTCATTTCACTAAAACTAGATTAGTGGTTATCAACTGTTGCTAAATATGTACCATTAAATTGGATGAATAAGACAACAAGGATTTTAAAAGCTTTTCTATTGTGTACAATATAAAGATTTGTCAAGCTCTAAATAGTTAATTGACAATTTAAACCAGAGAATGTAAAGCCTAAGAGACTGCTTACTTTCAAATCCAATGTATGAACTAACTTCCTAACTTCACTTTGCAGCTGATAAGAGGCATGATACACAAAAGGATGGTAGTGTTGTCACACAATTACTTTGTTTAAAACGCATTTATGACAAATAAAAAGGTGTTTATTTTGTTCTGGTATGAATACATGATTCCAGAATGTGGCACTTAAGGCCACATGACTACCGTCAGTTGTGATACATTCTCATGATTTTGAGAACCTTTGGTTTAAACCCTTTTCTTCTGGTGTTAAAGGGAAAGAGAAAAATACCAGTTGTGGCCTTTTGAGGAAGGCCTTGATAACTGATAGTGAACTGTCTAGTGGATATTTTAGTTAAGTGAGCAAATACCTTTGCATCTGAAGGATTCCAGTTATCCCATGGCAAGAACTATTGGCATAAGACATAAAAGTATAAAACAAAGCTTAAGAAGGTGTTTCTTAAATAGACATACATTGTATTATGGTGAATGGTTCCACTTTTACATCAGGACTTAAGGCAGTGTTTTGTCCAGTAAACCCCATTTTCCTCAGATAGCTAAAGTATAATAAGCATAACCTGTGAAAACTGATATCTATACAACCATTGTCCTTAATGTGTAAATTCCAACTATAACAATCTAACCAGTTCATTGTTTTAAAGGTATCTTTGGAATTAAATGTATGCATCTGAATTCGAAATGCATTAATATTCCTGGGATGGTCAAATCTAGTCTTGGAGAGCCACACTCCAGCAGTTTTTATAAGTCCCCCTTTATTTTTGAGTCATTCATTGAAGGCAGCAGTTGGCATTACAGATGATTATTAAATTAAATAAATGGCCTTTTTTATGTTTAAAATCTCATCTGATTTAGAACTTGTTGTACGGAGTATGTGTAAAACCAGATTCTCTCTACAAAACCAGGGGTGGTCACTCTTATTTCATTGTTCTACATTCATGTGACATGCGAGAGACCATTTGTTTCTCTCCATATTGTGCAGAAAGTGTTCTCTTTGTGAGTGCATTATATTATAAAAATCTGCATTTTTTCCCCCCAACTTGGATATGTATTGCTTTTGAAAGCAAATGGCATTCATGTTTACACAAAATGCTCTTCATTTAAGTATTCTGATTTTGGTGTAGCTAGGCCAAACCTGCTACCTTCCTCTGCTGCCCAAGGAGTCACATAATATTATAGATAAGTCTATAATATTTAGATGCCATTTATAAAAAGCAGCTCGATTTAAAACAATAGTGCATTGCTTAGAAGTATAGTTTTCATTTTTAAACAAGGTCCATGCTGCATATAAGTGTACAGTAGGTAAAAATACAGTAATCTCAAATAATTGAAAATATTTCTTAACACTGATTTATAGCCAGTGTTATAGTGGATTGTTTTCTTTAAGTTAACCTCTGTGTTGGGAGATTTGAAGTCTGAAACATTAAAGACATTACCCTGCTCAAAGCTTAGTTGTGAAAAGTCATTTAAATTTGGTAATTCAAACTATATTAAGACCATTTGATAAAGGTCTTCTAGTGTAATACCACTGACAAAACAATCTTTAACACCAAATAGGTAACATAAAACCAAGTTTTGTTACACATTACCTAAATGTTAATGCTGACTTCATGATTAATAGGTTTCAAAGAAGAGCTGTTATTCAAGCAAAGAACTTACATGCGTTCCCCACATCAATTAAAATGCAAAAAGATTTCTAATATGTAAAGTGTTTATATTATGGACTGACTGGAAAAAAAAACACTAGATTTGTACATCCTATTCACCATTTTGGTCGTTTTCAGTTCTGGTTAGTTAATGTGAATACATGTGTACTGGACCCCGAGCTGCTGTTGAGACCTCTAAAACTACAATGCTGCAGCATCCCGTCAGTAGAGTGAGGCTAGATGGACCTGTTTATGCCTCCCCTTGCTCTCTGTGTCTTCAGTGAGCAAGATTTAAATTCTTACCCTGAAAGTGCATTCTATGTCTTTTGGCATTTCTGTCTGAAGGGTTTGGCTTTACAGTCTAATCGGTGGGGCAGTATCAGTACTGCTGTGTGTTTGTTACCACTTGTGGACAGCTTGCCACAGCTGTGCAAAACAAAGATGCCATGCTTTCTTTCCAAAATGATAAAAATGCTAGTACTGAAGGAAGGTAACCAACAACAGTCCTCAAAGTTAAAGATGCAGGTTACTTAGTGAAATTACTTTTTCGCCCACTGCACATTCTAATTAACCCTAACCCATTCTAATTAAGTATAGTTTTTGTTCATTTAGCTCGGTTGTACAGGTCTGTTGACAATTCTTTCCATGTAGAGTTTTTCCACTCTTATTTGCATGCTTTGTTTTACCCAGTTGCCTAGTTTTGCACACCCCCAGTTTAGTCTCATTTTGAAACGTTTTTTTTTTGCACTTTGTGCATTAATCTAAAAAGCAAAACCTAAAAGAAAATTGAGATTATGGTTTGCCGTTGCAATCACAGCCAGAAACATGGTTAGTTATTTAAAACATTTGAGACTCCTTACTGAAAAAAGTCTTTGATTCTGATGCTGAGGAATTTGCATTTTTTCAGGCATAGATATACCATGTAGAACATCAGTTTTCCTATATATGCCTTTCTTAATTTTAGGTGCTATAAGAGCTGAATCAGTTCGACCTCAAATGCTGTAGTTTTGCAATTCAGTTTGGATATTTAAACAGGAAATATCCAAAGCCAATGTTGTAGATTTGTGACCTGTGGAAAAGGCAATGACATGTACAGCAGCATCCTTAGAAATATATCTTTTCAGCAAAGAGGCTAAGTTCTAGTTGCTATAAAGAAATGCTTCTTTTGTGAACATTGAGGCTGTAATTGGAAAGTTTCATCTTATCCAATTTGCACTAAGCAATCTTTATCTTAAAAGTAAAGAACTAGAAGAAAGGTCAGACCAGATGAGGCAGAAAAGTATATAGCCATGTAACCGCTCATTGGAAAGCTTGTAGATCGTTCAGATCTAACTGCTGCTGTTTGTGAATTATGAAAAATAATCACCTGGCAGCATTTGAACATTGATAGAAGTTCATATTTAATGATAAAAGTGCAAACACCCATATATGACCCTCTTGGGACAAGAGTATTTGTAGAACTGCCATGCAGCTCGTCAATGGCGTTATCAGTACTTAGCAAAATATTCTTTGTAATCTGCTGCCTGCATCGAGGCCTAATGATCGCAAATACCGTCTTAGTTCATCATACTGCATTTGATGCTAGAACACTGAATTTAGAAACCAAACTTTCTCGATGTTTTCCAAAATCAAAAAGACACAAGCAAATTGAAGTATCCATTCCTTTTTGGTGCAAGAATAACAGCGGTATCCTCAATTTGATCCTGTTTCTGACTTGTGATTTCCGGCCGATGATGTTGTCGCACTCTGTACAGTTTAGATGAGCAAGCTTGTTTCATGATGTTTTGTTGTTCTTTGATATCCATTTTGTAAATAACATTCTGTCCCTCTTTGCTGTGAAAATATTAAATACTAGATTACTGTATTTTCTACAGTGGGAAAGATATTTAAATTGTTTAGCATTATCACTGCAATTATGGATACTGTCACCCTCCCATATTTCAACACCTTACAAACCTCAGAATTATTGTAAAATGATCTATAGACAGAGGTTTCTGTGGCAAAATTAAACCTTTAACTATCAAGAACACTCAGCATTACTTTCAAGATTATCCATTTCTGCAACATCCCATGGGTAAGTTAGTTTATAAAAATGTCATTTAAGTTTCTGAGTTTAAAAATTGATTCAGTTGTAGTTTGGATTCATACTTGCATCCAAAATAAGCCTGCGTGAAATATAGCTTTGCTGTACTTGTTTTTATCAGTAAACCAAAACATCCTGCAAAGAATGAAATTAACACATGGAATCTTCACAGATACAAAAAAACCTTATTGATGTAGGAGCCTATCAAAATTAGTTAAGGCTGTATGTTCTCTTGCAGGGGATAATTGTGAATTGTCTTAACATTTTTTTCAAAATACTAGGATTGTTTTTTGGTGCAGTGTTCTGGCAACACCAATTACATAGAAGGGAATGTGGGCATGTTTTCACAATAACATCCTCTGTAAGCAATTTGTGGTGAAAATGTGCATTTAAAAACAATCTGTTCCTTGAAAACAATTTATCTACAGTGTCCATAACATTTTTTCTCAACCATCATGTATGTGGGAGTTGAAAAGTGATGGTCTAGATGTCAGACAGGAAAATTGTTACATGTCTTTTTTTTAACAAAAACCCTACACAGATCATTTTAATGCTAGTAGTTAATATGCATTTCTGAGTAATCCTTCTTTTTCTTCCCCAGTGATGATGCTAAATTCTGTCCTTGATGCAGTGGGTGGGGGTAAATGGTTAAATAAGATTGTAAATTGTCCAAGGTGGAAAGGTGAAGATATGTATGTAAACTGTAAATTTAAAATTTGAGTTCAACATTAAAAAAAGCTCAACAATTATTGCTTTTGGTTGTTTAATTGTTGGAGTACAGGCTCAAAATCCCTAAGCAAGTATATATTTAAACTATGATTAAACCTCCATTTATCTGTAAAATCAGCTTCTGTCTCATATATTCTTATTTTTTACTGGCACTGCTTTTGACATGAATGTGAGAGGTATATTAAATTGAACCAGCTTTGCTCAATCCAGCATGTAGGCTTTCTATGAATTTGAAATGAACATTGTTCTTCTTATAGCCATCAGACTAATCGGTAGCTGTACTGTAAATTAAATCCACTCTATGCTGCAAAACTGATAGCAAAGGTAGGTTAAGGTTAAAGACCTTAAGTGCTTTTCTATAAAAGGTGCACTGAGTCACTCTCCATTTAACAGTTTGTGCTCTTCACAGTATCTACAGCAGATTTTGCAGTGATCGGTGGGGAAATGGTGCTCTCCCTGACAACTCAGTGAGCTCACAGTTGAAGACTGCACATGAGGCTGAGGATATCCTGTGCTGACACCTGACCCTGCTGACATCGGCAAAATTTGATCAATTGCTTAGGACATTGAGACCACAGCTGGCCCAGCCCATAGCTGAAGACAGACTGTGCTCTGTACTACAAAGTATAGCCTGTGCTAGTAATGGGCTCTTTTATTTGTTAAGGCACTTCATAAAAAGGTTTAACTTAGACTATATTTATGAAATTCCTTATATTTAGAAAGTGAATTCTAGATTCAAAGGAAAGAAGAACCATGCTATGTCCACTTGTCTAATATGCTCAATAGATTAGTTAGTGTACACCAGGCTGAACCAAAGCTCATTTAAATCTATAGTCATGTGCAAAAGAAAGTACACCCTCTTTCAATTCATTGGTTTTACATATCAGGGCATAAATAACAAACATCTGGTCCTCACCAACTTCTATAATTAAACAAATCTAGCCTCAGATAAAAGACAACACATAACAGATTTCACTATGTCATTATTTATTCAACAAAAAGTTAGCCAAAATGCAGAAACCATGTGGGAAAAATTAAGTACACCCTTACTGCTTCCATAGGAGTTAAGAAGGTAATAAGAAGCCAGGAAGTGTGACCACCAATATATAAGAAGAACCTTTGGCAGTTTGGTGGTCTGGAGCATTCAGGTGTGTGTTAACACCATGCCAAGGAGAAAAGACATCAGCAATGAACTCAGAGAACCAATTGTTGCTGTTCATCAGTCTGGGAAGGGTTATAAGGCCATTTCCAAACAATTTGAAATCCATCATTCTACAGTGAGAAAGATTATTTACAAATGGAGAACATTCAAGACAGTTGCCAATCTTGCCAAGAGTGGGTGTCCCAGCAAATTCACCCCAAGCCCATACCATATAACGCTCAATCGTAAAAAACCCAAGAGCTACATCTAGGGATCTACATGCCTCGGCTAACATGTTAAATGTTAAAGTTCATGACATTATGATCAGAAAAAGACTGAACAAGTATGGCTTTCATGGAAGGGTAGCCAGGAGAAAGCCTCTTCTCTCCAAAAAGAACATAGCAGCATGGCTTAGGTTTGCAAAGTTGCATCTAAACAAACAACAAAATTTCTGGAACAATATCCTTTGGACAGACGAGACCAAAGT